ATTCCCTATAATTGCACACGGAAAGAGGGCCGCTCGCCTCACAGTCGACGCTATCGCTAAACATTTTAATCTAAATCAAAGCTTACTCCAAAGCTTCATCTCTCAGGGGCTAAGTTTTTAACGTCTTAAATCTAAATTCACATTTCAATGTAATTTGAAAGCCGTCTCAATCTCTTTTCTTTAGAAAAAAACGAAAGCTGGAAATGGTTGATGAGCAATAAACACTGACTCTGTTATTCTGTAACTGGACTTGCACTCTGTCTCACACACAGACCTACACACATCCTCAAACACACAACTAGACACTCTTACACACACCCTGGCACACTCAAACAGACACCCTCAAACACACACACTCACACATACAACCAGACACTCTCACACAGGCACAGACACATTCAGACAGACACATTCTCTACCCCTCTCACACAAACATACACCCTCAAACACACGTGTATGTGATACTTTCACATACACCCAGACTCTCACACACCCAGACACGCTCACACAGACAAACACACTCACAAACCCAGACGCACGCTCTCAACCCGGTCACACTCACACATACTCTCTCACAATGACAACCAGACACAAACTCTCAAATATTTGCAGACTGACACCCAGACAAACACACACTCGCTCACACACACTCGCACACTGACTGATGTGCACAGAGCAGCCCTGATGATTATTTCAAAGGCAGACTTTTTATTCTGAATTATTAATGTACTATTGAGACAGCCAGGGTACTTGCTACAGCTGTGTGATCTCTCCACACTAGCAGCTCTTATTCAACCGGTTTCTGGCTAACATTGACAGAAATGTCCCATCGTTCCTTCTGCTCTGAGTTCAGAAAGATCGCGCAGAGAGCTGTGTGCACATCCCTGGGACTGAGACTTTGCTCAGGACTTTTTATTCGAAGATTCGTCGCTTTCCATACGAAACTTTCGCTGTTTATTCTTTCAAGACACAAAGTTTCTAAACTTTAGCAGTTTAGAAACTTTAGATAACACACATCAATATCGCTTTCAGGAGAATAATAATAATAATAATGCTTTCATATGATACAGTAGAGACAGTATATTCTGTGAAGCGCTTTGAGTCGTCTCAAAGACGTGATGAGGCGCTATATTATTGCAAGGATTATTATTATTAAATTGCAAGTTAACACAACGATTCGGGTTTGTGAATGTGGCTAATTGCCCTATTGTATGGAAATGGGTGCAGTGGCCTGTATAGTATATCCATTTCCCCCGTCTGAACTCCATTCACAAAGCTACGGTTTTACTGTATTTACATGCAGTTCCTGGGGTGTATTTAAAATCCCTTTCACTCTGCTATCTGATACCATTATTCTGTGCGGTTGCACACAAAGGGTTGCATATATAACACGGTATTGATCTGGGCTGAATGGCATTCCTTGTTAATACTGTACACTCAGCACAATAAAGGGTAGTCAGACCCAGTCAGAGTTGAAAATATTTTATTCTTGGGAAAGTTCGTGAACTTTTGTGCTGCTTTCTGGCGTCTGATGTACAAATGGAATAGTGTGAATGCGCTCGGATCCCTTTCTATGGGCCTCTCGTATCATCTTTACAGCGCCTCTATGTTGCTCAGCAGAGCAAAATTTCTCTCTCTCTCTCTCTCTCTCTCTTTCGCGCTCTCTCTCTATCTCTCCTTGCACTGCTTTTGCCACACTACGTGTACTTCCAATTACTCCCAGTCCATGCACAGCGCAAACCAGGTATGATCTCAGACTCTCACTGCAACACTAAGCACTGCTCTGAACCCTCCACTCTGTTCACCAAGTCCTTGCCCTGACGGTGCTCTGTTATCCTGGATGAGGAGCTGTGTAATCAGTCTATCAGAAACATGAGATATTCCACAACAATGGGGAAGAGATTTTTTCAACTGTATTTTGGTCTATGGGTAGCCTCCAGGGGTTTAAGATTCCACCCAGTCTCAGCCTAATAAGAGTATTTTGCCTTTAAATGTAAACTTCAGGCTTAATTTAACTTGGTTTAGAAACCATTTCTCTTCCCAAGAACTCAGCAAAACGGCTTCCAAAACGACTGAATTTTGAGACTATTCCACCATCTTATGCTGCCTTAGCTTTTAAGGCAATTAAACGGTCTTCCAGGCTAAGACGAGATGGAATTTAGGACTCGGAAAGGCTCGGTTGGTCGTACTCTGGCCTCTCACACAGAGGATCGGGGGTTCAAGTCCCTCATCGGGCTCATAGTCGAGGCTGACACCAGTACAGTGCTTGGGAAGAGGTGCCGTCCTTCAGATGAGACATTAAACCAAGGTTCCTTCTGCCTGTTCAGGTGGATGTTAAAGATCCCACGGCACTTTTCGAAAGGAGAAGGACGTTTTTCCTGGGGTCTCGGCCAACAATCCCCCAAATAAAATTGGTCTCTCACTTCATGGCTGTTTGTGGGACACTGCTGCGGTTCCCTAAAAATTCTATGAAGTGCTCTGAGATGCTTAAACATTAAAGCGCTGCATACAATGCCCTATGTATTATACATTATGATTGTTATGAATACATTTCATCAGACACATAGTTGGATTCGAGCGGCAAGTTTGCTGTTGATTTTACAAGGATGTCAACCTTATTTCCTGTTTGTCCATTTTCAGTGTTGCTTCATCGACCGAGAGATTGTATCATTGAGCACATCTAACGTGTTCAATCATTCGACTCCTCACCCTGTGCATTCGCTGTGCAGTTGAGTGGATCTGAATATATATTAGCAATAATACTCTCAAGTTGCAGTTCCTCATTATATTTGAGCTGTGGGATTTGTAATTAACAATGCAATTGCGCACTCCAGTGGCCCCGAACTGCAATGACACGTAGCCCCGTCATCTATTTCACTCACACAAATCAGGCTTTGGACCTTCAGAAGATCAAGGCAGACGGCACGTTGCAAACTATCCAACCACACAAGCCAGAGGACCTGGGTTTGATTCCCGGGCAGGACGAAACATGGGGCAAGTTTTCTTACTCCACACGCCTTCGTTTACCCAGCAGTAAGTAGGAACCCGGTTATCAGTCGATTGGCAGATTGCTTTTCCGGGGTAATAACCCATTCAGAAAAAGATAATAATTTGGTCACTCAATCCACGACTGTTTGTGCGACACTGCTGTGCGCAATTAGCCGCCTCGTTCTGCCCACAAATTATGCAGTCAATTCACTTTACAATATATTGTGTGAAGCGCTTTGTCTCTAAGAAGTGTTAAGGCGCTATATCAAATGTAAGGATTACTATTATTATGAGGTGCTTTATCGAATGCCCATCACTGGAGCCTGATGACAAGTTTGAATCCATATTTTGTGCTAAATTAGCTGATTCCAGCTGGGACAGTAGTTGGAATTAGAATTGATCTTTGTATCTTAGCGGAGAGGAAAATACAGCCAAGGTTCTTATCGCCATATAAACACTTGCTGGAAGGAGTGTGAAGGACATGCATTTGTTGAAAGAGTCATATTACCAGAAACTGTGTGGTGGGAGATGTTACAACACTGACGTCTGCTGGAGATAGTGTATAAACACAGGCAGTCAACAAGAAAGCCCTAATGTAAAGAAAATCTATCCGAAAGTTGCCGTTTGTAGTCATTTAATTCATTCCACTAAAGCAGGTACACTGGGCTTGGTGAATCCTTCTAGGGAGAGAGTGCACTTCCATTCCAATAATCATCAAGTAGTAATAATAAATTGGTCACATCAATCCACGACTGTTTGTGGGCACTGCTGTTCTCAATTCGCTGCCGCGTTTCGCCCACAAAATATACAGTCAATTCAATTTGCAGTATATTCAGTGAAGGGCTTTGAGACGTCTCGAAGACGTGATCATGCGTTATATAAAATGCAAGGATTATTACTATTATTACTCAGGAATTTCCATGTGTAGGTGGAATGCACAGAAATCTCAGTTAGGTTTGGATACTCCTTAAGCATGGTGATGGGTTTCCACATGAGTCAGGACTATTTAAAGGTGTCGCTATTGATGTCTCTCAATGCTACTTGTGGGTATATTACATAAAAATCATAACTGAGTGTTTGAGATGTGATCGCAATCACTTCTCGTAAACCTGTCCCAATCGAGGAACTGTACACAGCCAGAAGTTTGATATTCAAATTTCGGGTTAAGAAAGTCATCTGCCGTGCCTACATCTGGGCTGGCGTTTTGTCAATTACCACAAAAAAATCACAATAATAATAATAAGCCTTGCATTTGATATAGCACCTTATCACGTTGTCGCGACGTCTCAAAGCGCTTCACAAAATATACTGTAAAGTGAATACTGTAAAGGGTATATTTTGTGAGTGAAACACAGCAGTCAATTGTGCCCAGAAAACAGTCGTGGATTGAGTGACCAAGTCTGCCAATCGACTAACACCCAAGTTTCCACTTATTGCTAAGTAAACAGAGGTGTGTGGAGGAATGAAACTTGCCTAAAGTTTCGCCCCGTCCAGGAATCAAACCTGTCGCTCACTAAAATGATCTTAAACTGGTAAAACCGGTTTCGATGCACTTGAATGTGGCAAGAGAAGTGACCTGCTGAACAGTGAGTGTAAATCAACATGATGCAGTTAGCAATGAGGATTTACAAACAGCAGCTGGTTTCCTTGAGGAATCCCTTCATATTTGCTGGGGAAACTGAGGTGATCAGCCACAATAACTTTACATTTACACAGCGCCCCTCACGCAGGGTAGTGTCCAGAGCACTTAAGGCAGAGGGATAGAGGAAGAGTGTTCCAGACATTCGGGGACGTAGTGGCTAAAGATTGTCCGACGGTGGAAAAAAAATTCTGAATTCAATTGAATTAGAAATGAAAATGAGGAATTAGTAGAAATTAGAACGGAATCTGGAGACGGTACGTGCTGTTAGCCACATAGTAATCTTTAGCATAAACAGATTACACCTTTCCTCCACCCTCCCGTGGAAGAGTCAGAGGCCAAACCTTATTCAAATTTCAGGACTGTGTCATCTGGGCTGGCATTTGAATGAAATGCGATGCATTTCCTGCTCTGTTCAGCTCCTCTGCTCAACAGGTGCAGGCAAACTTTTGCAGAAGTTAAGAGACTTTTTAACGTATTATCTAGTTTTGTTTTGCTTCATTTCATTTTTCGTTTGGGCACACGCACGCACACACACACACACACACACAACACACGCACCTAACTCTTTACTCTCCCCCACCTCACCCCTTGTCCGTCCAGCCCACTCTGCCTCTGGTTAGGCTGAAGAAGCCATGGCTTACAGAGACCTGATCAGAGATTGGAACAAGGCGACTTTGGCCATCGAACGGGATGAATGGCAGTCGGCTCTCACCATCCTCTCTGGGATCCGGGAAGGAAACTCCAAAATCTACTTCACCATGGGCTGCGTGTACCTGGTGCTGGGGAACCTGGAAGAGGCACTCAAGGTAAGTTAGTGAAGGTGTATGTGAGTTAGCAAGGCACCTCCTCCCTCTCAGTCCCTCCTCCTAGCTCGCAGGGCTCGGGCAACACCAGTACTGCTTTGGTTTCATTTTCTTTGCAACAACAACAACAACAACAAGATTCCATTTATAAAGCGCCTTTCACGTCAGGAGGACGTCCCAAGGCGCTGCACAGTTGGGTCATGACCCGAGCAGGGGGGAAATGGTCAGGGTGAGGGGAGGGAAGGGAGGGAGAGAGGAGGGGGGAAATGGTCAGGGTGAGGGGAGGGAAGGGAGGGAGCGAGGAGGGGGGGGAAGAGAGTCGAGAGGGGAGCTGAAGGCACGGTCAAAGAGAATGCAAGCTTATTTCGGAGAGAGTGAGAGAGAAACGTCTTATTTAGGAGAGCGAGAGAATGAGAGAGAAAACAAATAACCCCTGAACGTTACATTTTTCTAAGCAGTGTCGATAACTGATGGGTTTAGCACACGCACTGCAATTTCAATGCACGACACAGTTTTATCTCTCCCCAAGTTTCCAAGAGTCTTTTTTTTTATGGTTACTGGGGAGAGATTTGATGGGGAAAGTTAGGTTTTCCAATCAGTGTGTGTGTGTTTGTGTGTAAGCTGGAAATTCCCCTCGACTGGGGTGCTGTTTGGCGAATTTCCACCCGTGTCTAAAGTGTAATAATACCCACAAAAAATGTACTCCCGTTAACCTAACTTTTTAGGTTCGTCCAGAATTTGATGGTTTGTTCATTTCAGTCGTAGCTATGCAGTTCTTAAAAGAAACTGACCATAGAAACTTATCTGAATGCTTCCAGAAAATGCTAAGGAAATAAATATCCAGGTGGAATTTCTGATTATGAATGAATCGAAGATTGATGAGGAGGTTAATAATAATAATAATAATAATAATAATAATAATCTTTGCATTTGACATAACGCCTGATCATGTCTTTGAGATGTCTCAAAGCGCTTCACAGAATAAGACTGTAATATGAATTGACTGTATATTTGTGGGTGAAACAAATAATACTAAATAACAGGTTGTGATAACACTGGGATCCAGTAAGTAATGATGAGGCTCTGGGTAACAGAGGTCGCATTTCTGGGAATACAACAGCCTAAGAGTTTTCCAGTTATTCTTTATTCTCGTAAAGTTCTCGTCAAGCTGGTTGAACGGTAATGGTTGTGGTAGTTACTTGGTTGGATGGTGACCTGACTGCGTGTGGGATTCAGGTGCAGTTTTGTGATTTCCATGTCTGATCGGCAGGCATTTGACCGAACCATCGCTAAAGATGAACGTCTGGCTATTGGCTTCTTCCAGAGAGGAGCAATTCACGTGCGCCTAGAAAAGTAAGTAACTGTTTGTTGGTGAGTGTCTGTCTGTAGGAGCTGCACATTTGCTGGGTTCGCGCGAGGTTATTACCGTTAGAATCCCACATAAAGTAACCGATAGAAACCCCTGGAAATCAGAAGCTGGGGGAGGAGGGGGTGAATTAGCTGCTTTACACACAAGGTAAAAGTAATAAAAATAATAATAAATTATTCTGACATTTGGTATTGCACTTTTCACGTTGGGAGGAGTCCCAAAGCGCATCACAGGATACGTTGTAAGGTGCAGTGACTGTGTGGTTTGTGGACAGTTAGTTGGAAATAGATGAATCATCTGCTCGCTCTGTAAAGTCTTACCGTGCTTGCAGCAAAGTTGAAGAGTTAATAATAATAATAATAATCCTTGCATTTGATATTGCGCTTTTCACGTCATCTCGACGTCTCAAAACGCTTCACAGAATAGACTGTAAAGTGAATTGACCGTATATTTATGGGCGTTACTTATGAATTGCAGATATGAGGAAGCTTTGGGAGATTATAAACACGCCCTGAATAATCTACGCGGGAACCTTGTGATCGATTACACACAGCTCGGACTGAGACACAAACTTCACACCTGGGAGGTGAGAAACCGGGTTGAATACTCGGAGGGGAAAAGCTGCAGTTTTCGATCCGACTTTCTCCAACACTAACCCCAGGCAATTCCATTTTGGTAACTTCAACGTAAAGCTCCTAAACTCAGAGCAGGGTTGGGAGTGGAGATGCAGCGCAGGAGAGGAATGAGTCAGCCTGGCAATAATTGCTAACGATTCTGCTCGATTTTTCTCCCAATTTGCTCCTCAAATTAAAATGAATCGAGCAGGTTTATAAGCTTGTCTCATGGCTCAATGGAGCAGAGACGTATCATTTGCGATCCTCCAGGTCAGGTTTCCCTGTTCCGTACTGTTAGCTGATATACACTGGGCCCAAGAGAGAGAGAGAGAGAGAGAGAGAGAGGCTACCTGCCCCTTTGAAGCAGCAATAAACAAGGCAAACAGTATGCTGCTCTACATTGCCAAATCATTTGGGTTCAGCTCCCCAAACCTTGTACTCGTATAGTGAATTGGTCAGGGAACATGTAAAGTACCGCATACGGCAACAATAACAACTTGCATTTATATAGCGCCCCAGAGCGATGGACAGTGATGGAGCACGACTCCATCACGGAGGGAGGGGGGCAGGTGACTGTAAGCACGGTCAAAGATGGGGAAGAAGGGGACAAGGTGGAGGAGGGATTGAGGGAGAGTGTTCCAGAGTTTCGGGGCATAGTGGCTGACAGCACAGACACCAATGGGTGTCCAAGCTCTGGAGGCTGTACAGAGGAAAGTAACGAGTGTTACACAAGTGAACTATATGAGCAATGATCAGACAACCTGGGGCTGTTTGTCTTTAAAGATGCCGAAGGGAATATTTTCAGCCGAAACAATCTTGTGACTTAGAGAGAGAGAGAGGGGGGGGGGGGAGGGAAGGAGGGGGCAAATGGGAGGAAATTCACTAGCCAGGGATCGACACTGGACTTTGGGATAAGGATAGAACTGGTTCCGGGATCAGGTTCGGGTTCTCCCTGTGGTCGTCGAACAGTCGTGTATTGAAAATGACCAATTTATTATTGTTATTGTTTTGTTTTTTTGAGGGATTATTATTAGGGTTAGGGTTAAAGTTAAAGTAAAGTGACTCAACTGTATATTTTGTGGGCTGAGCCCGAGGCAATTACGCACCGCAGTGTCCCACAAACAGTGGTGGATTTAGTGACCAAGTGGGGGATGAATCAGTACCTTAAGGAGCGGAGGAATGATCTTGCAATCCTTTTCTCAGTAAACGTAAAAATGCTGCATCTGGCATCTCCCTGCTCGTGCTTGGATCCGTGTGAATGGTTGTATTGTTTGGCTCGGATAAGGGTTTGACAATCAAATGAGATGAAAGGGAGTGTGTCAGGTATTTCCTTATAATGAACTGGTTTCTGCTGTGATTTATGTTAGAACATTTTACCATTCCCCCGCGCCCCCCCATCGCATCGAGCAATGCTTATGTTCTTATGTACCTTGCTGTGATATCCAGGTGCTGTATAATATAGCCTCTGTGCACTGCAGACTGGGCCAGTGGGAGATGGTCGAGAAAAGTCTGGACCAAGCTGACCGGGTGAAGCCAATCAGCAGGAACATAAAGCTGAATGCTGCTCGCAATTTACTGGAGGTAATGTGGCCTGATACAGAAACCTACTGCTCTAGCGTAGTGCTGTGGGAGCGCTCCATTGGAGGTGCCGTCCTCTGACTGAAACTTTAAACCAAGGTTGTGTGTGTCTTTTTGGGTGGTCTTTGGAACTCCATCCCATTCCACAGTCCCTTAAGTCTTGCCTCTGTCCTTGCCTCCTTTAAGGCCCACCTCTTTGACCTTCAGTCACCCTCCTACCCCTGCCCTCCCCGCCCTTTTCAAGCACATATCCAATTCCCTTTTGAAAGCTTCTGTCGAATTCTGCTTCCGCCACCCAGTGGATTCCAGATCATGACAACTCTCTGGGTAAAATAATTTCTCCTCGTCTCCCCTCTGGTTCCGAATGTTGAGTGGTATTGTAATTGGAAACTGAGCCACCGATGGTGGGTTGGAGAGGATGTAACACTGGGCAGGGTTTGTGGAGAGGAGAGTGTGTGGCCGGAGGAGATGACAGAGCTGGTGTGGGGGAGGAGATGAAGCCATTTGAAACTCTTGAAGTCAGGCAAGGGCTCGAGTCTGTAACTCACCCCTGCCGGGTTTGAACCTGTAATTCACGTAGGGATCTGTTATATGCTGTAATAATAAAAAGTTTCCCAAAAAGACTTAAGTCAGGTTGCACCCCTGTAAGGTACTTCTGACTTGTATAAATGCCAAATGCTATTTATTTCACAGAGATTTTATGTCCCATTATCAATTTGTCTAGCATGATCAACTGTAACTAAGGGTGTTTCCTGAGTTACTTGCACAACAAGGAACTACATTCAATTATGCAAATTGTGAAAGTCCAATCTTAATTGGATTCCCACACCACATTAAGACATTTTGGACGAATACTTTCTTGTCTTGGGCTTGTGGAACTTTCAACATAGTAAAGTAACACTTCACACTGATGAAATAGGAGATAGGAAGGTAAAAGTAAAAGAGGTATTAGTTTTAGATGGGTTATGACTGCAGAGCGAGAACAGGTAAGATGGAAGGGATTTCCACCCTCCATTGGAGATTTTGTCTAAATCTTACTGTGTTTTGCGTTTCAGAAACGTAGTGTCTTTGACCCGATTGAGTTACCGGAGGGGATTGTGTTCAGGCCTCGGAAACACGATGTGGAGCAGCTAAGCATGAAGGACTTCTTGGGTAAACCAATGGTAAATGTCCAACTCACCCCCCCATCCCCTATGCCCTCCCGCCCACGGGCCCCCGCCCTGTCTGATAGGTACGTCCCTCGCTCTTTCCCAGTTAAAAATAACCGAGGGGAAAAAACAGCTTCCAAATCGTATGTGGTGTGAGCACTAAGACCAGCTCCTATTGAAAGGCGCTGTAGTTGCTCATGTTAAGATGTTAACATGAGCAAGAACTTCACAGCCCATTGCAAGGAAGGAAGCCCATTCCAAAGATACACAATGTGAGACTCAATTTGGAATTGTCCAATATTCTGAACGACCTTGAACTCTTGAAGTCTTAGTCTGGATGCTGGTATTTGAGGGGCTGGGATAATAAGTTTGGTGATCTTTTCTTGTGATTGATTCTAAGGTTACAATTCTCTTGTTTTCCTGTGGTCCAGGTCATCTCCTCAATAATTCCAAACGACAGCTATGGGGGGTTTGAACCACTGCGTCCGCAGGTACAGTCCAAGTCTCCGTATGATCCAGGCTTTCCTTTGTTGACTGACTGACTGACTGACTGATTGATTGATTGATTGATTGATTGATTGATTGACCCTGTCATTGGGTAAGTTCTCCGTGTGAGCGATGAGAATGTAACCGCGAGGACTCAATTTCTTTTTATAATTCTATTTCAGAAACCGGATGAAGATACGATGTTGTGAGTACTTGTATCTTTCAGAATGTTTGTGCTGAGTATTATACATTGCTGACTGAGATACCATTTGTGACCTGGCCTCAAACTACAATGGCCTTGGAACGTCAGAGACTGTACAAGTGAACCTGTGCCTCTACCTGCGCTTGATGCCTATCCTGTCCTCTGCAGTGATCTTTATTTCTGCTGTAATTGAGAGAGAGAGAAAGAGAAAGAAGAGGCACAAATCCCACACCAGGAGACAGTAGTTTGGCATTCAGCCGCTGAATCTCTCTGTGAATTCCCCACGCCCACCTCCATGTTGTGGCAGCTAATATAGTTTGACATCCCATTGTGCGCATGTGTGAGGTTGCATCCTTATACTTCCTTAGTAAACTTGCACACAGCTGGACTTCATGTTAATTGCCAGTGCAGTTCTTTTTTTCTGGGCAGCAAGTCAGAGAAGGAGAGAGATTGTTAGAGAGAGACAGCAGCAGAGGGTAGCCTCAATAGGACTTTGGACAATCTTTTTTCCCCTCCTCGTCCCTTGTTGAGTTTTGCTTCTGTGAGTTCTCAATCTCAATGCTAGGGCCAGGAGCCTGCGGAGCACACAGGAATGGTTTCACAGGGACGTAAGGAGGACGGGGTGACGGAGGTGGGTGGGTGAGGGGGTGGGGGGAGGGCAGTGTGGAGATTGCTTCTCATGTTACTTTCCTGCTCTCCTCTGCAATGTTATGGTGCTGACCTTGTGTGTAACTATCTTTTGTAAATTCTATTAGAGGATTGAAAGGATACCACTGGGTGCTGTTCAACTTCAATCCCCAGAGTGGCAGCGAGGTTGAGGGGAAGGCTGGCAGTGTTGTCTTTGTCTTGGAGCATGGAGAAGATGGCTGGTCGATAGTTATAGTGAACGGGCAGGTAGGAGCTCTTAGTCTTACGAGATGCCATTGTGTGGATGGCAGCCTTGCCACTGTGCTGTCCAATGCCAGTTACACTACCACCTTTCTAACGACCTCACTCTCTACCCTCCCAATTCCATTCCTATCAACAAGTGTCTCCAACCTCCTCTGCACTGTTTCTGTGCTGTCTCTGTAGCTGGAGAATCCACGGCATAAACAAGCAATGCTTAACTATAAACTGCAGACATTAATATCTCTATGTTCTGAATTATGTTTTATTTGCCTTGACAGAAAGGTTTGCTTCCTACTGCATACCTGGAACCAGTAGTTGAAGGGAAGACCTTCGAAGTAAGTTGATTTTTGTCTTCAGCATAACCGGAAATAATAATAACATTCACTTATTCACCAGGAAGGAAAAGTCTCGAAGTTCTATAAGAAGTTTAATCGATTAGAAATGAAGTGAAAGTTGTTATCGAGTTTAAACACGTTTCGACACAACATTGAAATAAACAGCTGATTAATTTGAAAATATTTGGATTAAGAGGTGGAACAAGAGTGGAACTTTGGGGATTTGGTGGAACAGTTTCACACCATTCAATAATTTACCAACTGAGCTATCGGGACCAAATATTATTCTACTCAGTGAGGATTATTGGCTTCTCCAGTGGTTGAGCTGTTTGGTTCATAACCACACCAACCCATATTTTGCTCAGACATTTTCCAAAATGCTTTGATTCTGGCTTTCGTTCAACAGAAGCCAAAGAAAATAACCTTTTAAATTCTATTCATAGAAAAGGCAAGGATTTGGATCAGTTGCTCCCACCCCCCCACACCACAGACCTGTCACCACGGCTGAGGCATCACCAGAGCCCGGAAGAGATGTTGGTTCAAGGAATGTGACTTCATCATCTGTGAAGGTAACGCTCTCTCACCCGTAATCTCTCTGGCGCTAAAGCAGAGCGTACAACACACCTTGGCACTGCGCTCGCTTTCATTTCAGTTAAGAGAGACTGTGAGTGAGTGAGAGAGAGAGAGAGAGAGAGAGAGAGAGAGGCTGTGAGAAAAAGAGAGACGGTGAGAGAAAGATAATTCTATTAAGTGCTGCTCAGAGCTGCAAAGGATTATTTGTTGTGACCCCAGATAGTATTTCTTTACCCAGAGGGCAGTCAATGTCTGGAACAAATTGCTAGAAATGAGTGGAGGCCAGAACACTGGATTCATTTAACAACCACTCGATACTGAAATGGGAGGACAGGAGGTTGTGTATTCTGGAAGGGTGACAATGAAATGGGCCAAAGGGCTTTCTGCACCTGAACCTCTCTTATGATCTTGCGACATTGATTTATGGGCTGTGAAATCCGCATCTGTGTCACCAGAAGAAGAAGACCCTTCAGCCCATTTGATCTCATCCTCGCCCAGCGGCGAAAGCTTGTTCCTGATGCTTGGCGCAGGCTATGCACCATTCCTCAGCAACTCATGCCCCTCACCTTTCATGAGCTCCTCAATTTACTTTCAATGGGAAAGATTGTAAGAGGAATCGTGTGTGTTAACTGGCTGTGTATTGTTTCTATTAGAATCTAGGCTCATCCAGTGCTGGTTCGTTCGTTGTTAAGGTCCATTATGAGTACACGGTAGCAACAAGAGTGGATCCTGACGTCTCCTATGCTGACCTCTTGAAGGTACTCAAATCAAAACTGGACCATTGCTCCCAAGAGCTCCAGTTCAGGTACAAACTGATGAGTGACTGAGTGTGGAATGGAGTGTGCGGAAGGCAGATAATTAGTGGTGAGCGTGTATTATTTACCTAGGCAGCTTGTTGGGCAACAACATCACCAATTTGCACTTCTACTGCACCATTCAATTAGGAGAATATCTCAAAGCACGGTACGAGAATACAGGGTGAGAACCTGAACAGAGTGGGAGGCATTTGTGTGTGTGTTTGTGTGTGTATGTTTGGAGGGAGGGTGGTAGACTGGAGGTGACCAAAGAAAGGCACCGTCAAAAAGATAGGTTGGATGATTTTTGCAATGTGAACGGGAGGGATGGGTGGAGGGAGAAAGTTCCATAGAGAGAGGGGACAAAGTGCCTGAAACATGGTGGGATTGAGGAATTGAATCAGGCCTGAGTTGGCAGAGCGTAGAGAGTATATGGGAAAATATGATTGCAGGAGATTGCAGAGGTTGGGTGTGTGTATGTTTTGTTTATTGCTTTCATTCTGACACTTGATGCTGTGAGGTATTAGGATTGTAATATTCATAAAATAAAAAATAATAAAATGATAAAAATAATAAAACATTAGGACTGTGAAGGCCATTTGCAAGTGAGAGACCCGGGTTTGATTCCCGGCAGGTCGAAACCCTGGGCAAGCTTCCTTACTCCACATGCCTGACCATAATCCCTCAAAAGAAAAAATAATAATAATTTGGTCACTTCAATCCACGACTGTTTGTGGGACGCTGTTGTGCGAAATTGACTGCCCCGTTTCACCCACAAATGTACAGTCAATTCACGTTACAGTATATTCTGTGAAGCGCTTTGAGACGTCTGGAAGACGTGAAAAGCGCTGTATCGAATGCAAGGATATAATATTATTATTTTGGGACAGACACTAGGAAGTATTTTTTTTACACAGAGGAAAGGGTGACTCACTGTAGATGCAGCTGACTGCTGTAATGGAAGGTCGAGACCAAATGAATTAAAGGGCCTTCTGAAATCTGAAGCAATCTTGTGGTGGCTGTTTTTCTTCTGCGCCACTTGGAAGGGTGGGGCGGGGCGGGGAGGGAAATGTCTCTGTTTCCCTTGTTGTCTCCCCCACTCCTTTCCTGGCCTCCCCAAAGACTTTGTGAGAGGTAGAATCAATTTGATATCATTGGGTGGTGGCTCCTGTGCATTTGAAACCATTTCAAGACCTGTGATGTATATTCTGTAGCGTGGAATCCTGTAGTGCATTGGTTAGAGCACTCGCCTCACAAGCGAGAGGACCTGGGTTCGATTCCCGGGCGGGGCGAAAAGTTAGGCAAGTTTCCTTACTCCACACACGCCTCTGTTTATATCTAACAGTAAGTAGGAACCTTAGTCGATTGGCAGATCGCTTTTCTAGGGATAATAAACCATTTTTAAAAAAAAGTGGTCACTCATTCCACGACTGTTTGCGGGACTGTGCTGTGCGCAAATAGCTACCACGTTTCACCCACAAATTATACAATATACTTTACAGTATATTCTGTGCAAGCGGTTTGAGACATCTCAAAGGTGTGATATGGCATTATATCAAACGTAAGGATTATTAGTAGTATCTGGAGAGCGATCCTGGGCATTTGTGGTTTCCATCTGCAGCTACAAGGACAAAGAGAGCCAGGAGTTGGTGCCAATCAATGGGGACAGCGATCTGGAAAAGTTGTGGGGTGAGACTGTGGACAGGAGACTGACCCTGTGGGGCAAGGTAAGAGCCACAAAACAACATAACATTGTACAGGGTGTCCACAAAGCCCTGTTAACACCATGTGTCTTTTTTTTTGTATTTAGCCGTACAGTGGATTACAACAACAACAAAATTACATTTGTATAGCGCCTTTCACGTGTGAGTGAAAATGCAAGTTGTGGTTGTCGATTGGAATCAGTAATGGGATGATTTTGGAGGGGAATGGAGGTGCGGGGAACGAATGATGGTTTTGCTATCCTGACTTGCCTGCGTTGTCACAGTGCAGGGACCCTCTGGTTGGAAGAACTGTCTTGTACCGAAGGGTTGCACTGCATGATTACATCGCCCAGGGACCTGGAGATTTGGGGTTCGATGAGGGAGATTTCATCGATGTTCTCTCTGAAGGTATACAAGTCATTGTTGTATTTTTCTTACTACCTCTGGGTGCCTGAGGGGTCTTGTTGTAACACACAGAGAAACACAGTGTGATGAATGCCGGGGTCTATTATGCAAATTGTGTAAATGATGTATAAATGTTGATTACGTAATTAGGATTTTTTTTAACAGAGAGAGTTGTTGCAGTGGCCGAAAGGGGGGTGGAAACAGATTCGATAACAACTTTCCAAAGGGAATTAGATAGGTACTTGAAAAGGAAACACTTGCAGGGGAAAGAGCGGGGGAGTGGGACTGATTGAGTAGCTCTTCCAAAGAGCTGGCACGGGCACAATGGGCCGAATGGCCTCCTTCTCTGCTGTAATATTCTACGATTCTATGAATTGTCCACTCATGTATTTAATATGCTGTTTGTGGGACATTGCTGTGTGCAAATTGGCTGCAATGTTCACCTCCGAAAAACACTACACAGGAAAAGTGAAGCACTTTGAAACCCCATCTTGACATGAAAAGCATTGCAGTAAACTCCTGATAACTCCCAAGGGCAAAGTACGCAAAAGTGAATCCACTTTACAATATATCCTGTGAAGCCCTTCATGGGATATATTGTGAAGAGATGAGAGGTTTCAACAAGTTGATAAGGAGTTACATCAAATGCAAGGATTATTATACTATTATAAAAGGACTAATTAATTTTAAGACTGCATTGTGTCACAGGCTAAGACTAGATAGAATTTGGGGCCCTCAGGGCTAACATTACCTTCAGGCTTGGTGTAAACTCTACACTTCTTGTATACTTGTATCGTTCTATCAATCAAGAGATTTTTTTTAAAACGTTATATATCTCGTTCCCTGCAGTGAATGAAGAATGGCTGGAAGGACATTCGGGTGGAAATTTTGGGATCTTCCCACGATCTTTTGTTAGCCAGACCAATACTGAAGCCGGAAAAGTGGATCACTCCAAGGAGATGACAAAAACATGAATGCTACAAAAGGACTGGACATGTGGATGCTGTCCCAGTGAGTTGGACAGGATTAGGACTGAAGAGCACTGATCTTAGTCTTACTGTTGAGACTGTGATTGTGACTGACCAGTAGTACTAACACTAAGCCAAGCCAATCGCTATTATTATTGTTCTCGTCAGGACTGACCTGGATAATTCTCTAATAACAATGTAATAATTTTTGCATTTTATATAGTTATCATGTTGTTGAGACGTCTCAAAGCGCTTCACGCACCACCGGCTCCCACCTCTAGCTTGGATGTCACTCCAGGACTGTCGGGCACTTGAGCTATCCATCTGATGTGAAAGGCACCGTATCAATGTAAACTGGTATTGTACTTTTTACGTGTGTGAAGTTTAGCTTACAGATTCCTTCTTATCCTCTCCCGTCCATCACAATTAAGAGGTTTAGAGTTGAAAATATCAGGAGAGATAATAGAGGAAACAAAATCTCACAGTTTGACAAAAGGAAGTCTATAATCCTGTGGATTTTTAACCAGAGTTTTATCTTGAACTGAAGAACACAGCAGCATTGTGTTTAACTGGAACACCGAGCTGGGGAGAGGCTCTTTTCACCACACACACTTTCAGCAGCAAAAGCGCCATTCGATGATGAAATCCGTCACTCACTTCATGGCTGTTGTAACGCTGCTGTGCACAAAATTGCCTGTCACTTTCAACAAATACACTTACACTTTACAGTGAGTTCTGTGCTTGTAATAGTTCTTGAGATGTGAAATGCACTACGTCTACATCAAATGCAAGGAACAATAGGATTCTTCTAGAATGGAGGTTCCTAATTGAAACGATTTGATGTGTTTGCCCTTTGTTCCTTTAATGAAAGTTAAATGCTCAATTTCTTTGAAATACCAAGCCTTTAAACCCAGGACCTTTAATGTTTTAAATCCCAACCTCTTTTTGAAATCCACGTCATTTTACATCGGAAGCGGTAAAGATATAGCCATTTAAGTACAATTATATTATACAAAGATTATAATAATATTTTTTTAAGGAGCCAATCTTTGCCTTTTCACCCACAAAAATATACAGTCTATGCTTAATTTGCATTTTCTGTGAAGAGCTTTGAGACGTCTTAACGACATGATAAGGTGCCATATCAAAATGCAAGGATTATTATTATTATTGTATTCAGTTCAGACCCAACCACAGGATACACCAATATCATTAATTTCTCAACTTGACCGTTAACACAAGAGCCTGACTCAACCCCACAGAGAAACCCTTTCATTTAATGCCTTATCTGTATAGAATCATTTTCAGGTAAGGAAAAGCCTGTGAAGCAACGAGTGCTGGGAATCCGGAAATAAGAGCTGGAAATCCACCACAGGTCAACCAGGATCTGCAAGAGAAAGAATTGGGTGCGTGAGACCAGAGACACCAACTTGCGCAGAGGGACTCTCCCAGAGCAACCTTTCAGCTCTGATGAAGGTCCTTCCAAAAACATGCAGACCTCTTTCTCCTTCAGATACTCATTTACGGTCTATGGTCACCCCACCCACACCCGGTGTTGTGTTCTGTCACTGTCAAGCGCTCTGGGGTGCTACTCTGTGCGAGGGGAGCTGTATAAATGCAAGTTGTTGTGGTTGTTTGACCTCCTGTTCCTTTTTCCAGCATTTTACCTACTTTTGCACTTTGCCCACAAAATACACAGTCAATTCACCTGACAGTATATTCTGTGAAGCACTTTGAAATGTCTCGAAGATGTGATAAGGCGCTATATCAAATGCAAGGATTATTATTATTATTATTTCCCCCACTCCCCCACCCCAGAACAACCAGAATAACCATTAAGCTCTGGAGGTCTGACTGCTCTGGTGCTGTGTGATCTGACCTCATAGTGCACAACCCACAGCAGTGAGAGCCCAGGCCGTCATTGAAGTAGTTTCCATTGTACAAATGGTTGTTAAGCCGTTAGCAGATCGCTTTCCGTGGGTAATAATCCCTTCAAGAAAAAATAGATGATAATAATTTTGTCACTGACTCCACCACTATTTGTGGAACAACGCTGTGCCTAATTGGCTACCACGTCTTGCCACAAAGTACAGTCAATCCACCTACAGTGTATTCTGTCAAGCGCTTTGAGCCCCTTCAATTACATGATAAGGTGCTGTAACAAATGGAAGTATTATTGTTAGATTATAACTGCAGGGTCCAAATGAAGGAGTGGAGTATTAGCTGAATGCTGAGGAAAAGCATGAGGACTCTTTCTCAATGGGAACAAGATCCTTTAATGATATTCATTCATAATCCACACACCTAAATGTCTTTGGCAGGCCACAGGACCTGCGACACCAATGCTACGAGCATGACAGCAATTGTCAGCACAATGAAGAAAATTGCTGCGGCCCAGATTTTATGGCTGTGGCCCTTTAACTGCGGCTCGACTTCCGATGGGATCATGTTGGTGAGGTTCAGCATGTAGCCCAGGGTCCAGCCGATTTCAGTGTTGCCAGCCTGTTAAAAAAAGGAACACAAGATCAGTAAGAAGCGTTCACATTGCATGTACTGGTAGTTGACGCAATCTACGGGATGTTCGCAAAGTTCTGTTGCCCCGCGTTTTTTTTCTCTACAGCGCACTGACCAAAAACTGAAACGTGAAAGAAGGATGGTAATTGTGTTTAGAAGTTACTTCACTGTATTCAGCACGAGTGGTTAACTGTATTTAGACGTCCAGAGGGTCGGTGTGTGTGCGTGTGCGTGCATGTGCGCCCGTGCGAGCCGTCATTTTCGTGGCAGATAATGATCCGTCGCCATGTTTGGAGTGACACTCGTGTAACACGGGTGGAGAGACGAGGGCAAAATGCATCTCTTGGCAGCTTGTTTCAGTTCCTCAGTCGTCTCGTATCGCTGGTTTGTAACGTGGGGCAAGAGGACTTTGTGGACACAGTGAACAAATCCCCGGCACACAGTGAAGCGAAGAGAGCCAGTTACCTTTCTTTGGAAATCAATGTTGTTCCAAGTGGAGTGGTCAAACTTATAACCGTCCACCAGTAGAGTCAGTAGAATCCAGCCAGCGGTGCAGTAATCCTTCAGCCTGAACTCGGGCTCTTTTGGGTTCTCAGCCTCAGCCTAACAAGACAGCAACCAGGATGGAATCAGCAAAAAAAAAACCTGATAATTTTAACAATAGTTTACATTTATATAATAATAATCCTTGCATTTGATATAGCGCTTTTCACGTCTTCTCGACGTCTCAAAGCGCTTCACAGAATAGACTGTAAAGTGAATTGACTGTATATTTGTGGGCGAAACGAGGCAGCCAATTGCGCACAGCAGCGTCCCACAAACAGTTGTGGATTGAGCGACCAAATTGTTTATTCGAAGGACGACTTCCCTGTGAATACAGAGCTCCCACAGCATTTATTCCTTTTTCACGTTGAGCACTACAATTCAGCAAGAAAGCAGAAAGCAGATTTACCTGTGCCCACGTTTTGTTGCAAAAGGCTTCTACCGTTGAAATACTAGTTTCCAGAGAAGCCCCTGTTGAGGCCAGTTTCAAGAAATTGGAGATGTAATAAAATGCTGAGAAAGCCTGAGGACAAGGGAGAAAGAACTGAGCAAAATTGCACACCAACATCAACATTGTGCGACACAATGGTGGATCTCTTAAAGAGATCTTCTGTGCTATAAAGTTCTATGGAGAGCTCTCAATCACTGAGTCCTCTCCCGCCCTAAGTTCCATGACCGGATCAACTCCATGCTCGGCCGGCTTCACTGGTTCCCCATCCGACAATACTGACTTGATCATCCCCGAGCCACACTCCGCAATTGTAAGAACCTGTTACTTCTGTATAAAGTACTGTTTGGGCTTGAATAAACTAACCCAAATTGTAACGTTGATGGTGTTTGACCTCCTCTATAGAATTACTCTACGATCCAAACAGACTCTAAGGGAAGAAAATTTCCTTACACCAGCCACTCCATTACAAACGATGGCCTGTTTCATATCCACCAAACTCACCAAACGATCTGCCCAACTATCAGCGAGTGAGCTCTCACCCCCTCCCTCCCCACCTTTAAACCCCTCCGTAACACCTATCATTCTGAATACTTTTGGTTATCCCCTCCCCAGATCCAAGCTCAACTACCCAGTCACCTTGTCAATCTGTTGAGACATTCTCCTCAATAGATGGTGGTGGAGGGCGGGCAGTGGCGGGGAATTTCAACTCACTCATTGACAATGAAGCCAAGTTAAATAAGATATTAAGTTGTGGAACAGAGGGAAGTCTTACAATGAAGTGCCCGTTTACTGGCGGCTGATAAACTCCATTGAACGCACATGTCTGGTTTCCACCACATGCAGTAAAGTTGAAAAGCGTTCTCACAGCCTTGCGACATTCTGCTGATTTCCCTGTTCCAATGAGAGTTACACTTTGGGTTCCTTTGTAAGGTGAGGGTTTCTGGTCTGAAGTACATGGACTGTCATAGATGGAATCCAGAGTTGCGTTGGTCGTGTATCCCTTGAGGTAACAGGGGATCTCAATGGGAGCTGCCAAGTCCTTCCCCTGTCAACAGAAGTTAATGATCAATTGAGAAAAATAGTGTCATTTTAATCCATTAGGAGCCTTCACATTTTAATCCATTAGGAGGCTGTCCAGCGCCTTGGGACGTCCTCCAGACGTGCAAGGCGCTATACAAATGTAATCTTGTTGTTGTTGTTAACATGTCCAAATGCCTAGCGAACGTCAGGAGATTTAAGTACATGGACGTATATCTTCTCAAAGTGCTTCACAGAATACACCGTGAAGAGTATGGGTTCCGTGGATTCAAATATTATAACATATGAAAACACTAAAAATGCAGATGGTATATAAAACATTATAGGTTGCATAAAATTCTAAAAATATGAAAATAATATAAAATATGAAACTATTTCCCGTTTCTGATATCGCGTCCAAACCTTTAGTAACGCAGCGAGGACTCTGTTCTCGGATTGCTTTTTCCCGTGGCACAGGTAGCTGTGTGTGTAGGTGGTGTAGTTGTAGCCGTAGAGTTTAAATTTTGCTTCCATATTCTTATTGCTGATGGCTTCCCGTGGGATGAAAGTGATTTGAGTTGAGGCCCCACCGAGGTCCAGTGCTCCGGAAATTGTCGCTCCCTTTGGGTGCACCCACTCACCCTCCCAGGAATACTGGGACAAAGTGAAACAGCAACAACAATTTACATTTACACAACAGCTTTCGCCCTCTCAAAGCGCTTCACACAGCAAGCTGACTGAGAACCGACACAGGACTGAAACAAGAATTGGTTTGAGTATAGTCGACTCAGACCGGAACTCAGACTCAGGAAAAGGCCCTCCACTTTGTAATAATAATAAAATCCTTGCAGTTGATATAGAGCCTCATCACGTCATCGAGACGTCTCAAAGCACTTCAAGGAATTTACTGTAAAGTGAATTGGCTGTATTTTTTGTGGGCGAAACACCGTGGCCAATTGCGCCCAGCAGTGTCCAACAAACCGTCATGGATTGAGTGACCAAATTATTATTATTATGTTTTTAAAAAAGGATTATTATCCCCCCAGAAAGCGATAGGCCAATCGACTAACAATCGGGAACCTACTTACTGCTAGGTAAGCAGAGGCATGTGGAGTAAGGAAACTTGCATCAGGTTTTGCACCGCCTAGGAGTCGAACCCAGATACTCTCGCTTGCAATACGCTACAGTACTCCAATGTGTGAGCCACAGATGTGTATTACATCTTCAATTTCTTCAATCGGGAGGAAGCGTTAGGTACAGCAGGGCACAGAGTGCCAGATACAACGCTGAATGACTGGAGTAGGATGATCTGCTATTACTGACTGTGTCACAAACATCCCACAGAATCAACTCAACTGTCAGGTCATTTAGGGAATCCTCAGCAGCAACTAGTGAAGTTTTACTCGCTGCCCGGACTGGCTGCTGAAACAAATTCGGATCTCACCTTCAGAAACGTCTGCAGAATGTAGTTGATGGTTATCCAGCCGTACGCCCCTTCCTCATCTCCGGTTATGATCTTGGCTTTTTGGAAATTCAATGGATACGATCGGATTGTGTTCGCCACCTCCTTGAGAACCTCATCTGATTGGGCAGCACTCTGCAATCTGTGGGAAGACAACATCAACTACTGATTCCTCTTGAGCCCTGTAATACTCTTTGAGATGTTGGTTGTGGGGATTAAGGCTTGGGCCACTGTGTGTTGGTGTAGAAGGGCGTGGATCATGCCCAGAAAACAATACTTGCACCTCAAGTTTTAACAAATAAACAAAGAGAGAGGTTTATTGTGACAAGGAAGCTCTATTCTTTTTTTTTTCCACAGCCATCTTCTCCAGACTCCCCTTACCTCTGTCGAGCACCCAGTGATATACTGGTGTTCATTAGCTGGCTGCTGGTGGCCAATTCGTAACTAGGGCTGGAACTCTAAATGAGCCTGATTGGAGTCTAAAAACAACACAATGTTTTACACGTAGGCTGAGTGCCAATAACTGTAGCAAGCAGGGACAGGGTTTATCCCTCTGGCACAGTTGTTTACCCCAGTTATGTCCTTTTTACTTTTTAATGTGAATATTGGACTAAGCCTTCTGGAACTCCATCCCACAGTGTCCCTCTGCCTTGCCCACTTCCTTGCCTCCTTCAAGATCTGTCTCAAGACTCTCCTCGTTGACCGTGCCTTCGGTCACCCTCCTACCCTTACCCCCCCCCACGCCCCCCCCAACCCCATTACTGTCAGCGCCTTGGGAAGTCCTATGTAAATGTAATTTGTTGTTGTTACCAGATACCTGAGTAGCCGCATGCCTGCAGTAGCTCCCAGGTACACAATGGACTCCTTCTGTTTTTCTTTTGGGATGAAGGTCAAGATGTTGTCCAGGCAGGGCCTCAGTGACTCTCCGGCCTTTGGTGGATCCTGGGCGTAACTGGAAATCCCTGGCCCTGCGGACGTGCTAGGAATATCTTATATCGGAAAACAGCAGTGCCAGAAATTCTACGTTCTAAATTCCAACGCTCGCTATCTATCTCTTGCTCGCAAACCGCACCCGATCAGAAAAAGGCCGGTATCTAATTCCCTTTAGAAATAATCAGTGCTCACTTGACCTTCCCAGGAAAACTCTTCCACGTATCTGTCATCTGCTGGGTAAACCAATTCGAAAAGTCAAGGGAGTTTACTGTGGCACATTGTTGTGGAAATTGGCTGCTGCATTTGCCTACAGACACGCAGTCACTGCACTTTACAGTAAATCCAGTGAAGTGCTTTGGATGTCCTCCTGACGCGAAAGGCGCTATATCAAATGCAGGCTTTATTATTAAAGAGTTTAGGTGGAAACTGTTCGATTCCTTAATTTAATCTGAAAAATGCAACAGTCCAACCACTTAATCTATCCAGAATGCATAGAGTAACAGCCACCTCCCTGTCCCTTCAGAAATGAACGTAATGTTACATATTGAGCTAAAACAGGAATATAGTAACAAGAGTAGGCTATTCAGCCCCTCGAGCCTGTTCCGCCATTCTGTTAATTAGATCATGGCTGATTTGTACCTCAACTCCATCAACGCGCCTTTGCCCCATATCCGTGGATACCCTTCCCTAACAAACATCTATTCACCTCAGTCATGCTGACCCACAGGAAGCCCACTCTGCTCAACTTAATTTACCAAATGTAAGGATTAGCACGTAGTTTGATTTTCTTCTGTGCTCATCAAGTGACGCTACTGCTGAGTAACTCGTCCTGATCGCTTCTTGATCTATTGGCTGCAATAAGTCACCAGACTTGCTCGGGTGGTCGTGAAGCCAGGCCATTAGGTCATTTGACAATCGGATTTGCTTCTACGAACGTCTCTCTTATCTCAGGTCTGAAGAGAAGTATCAGTGGCTTAAGGGATATCAGAGTCTTTGCCTTGCAGCAACTTGTATTTGAATACCGTCCTTCAGGTATGATAACTGTACATACAGAGCATTTCTCAAACATGGAGCTGGATGCCAAGTAAGGGAGATGGGGGAGAACAGGGAAGTGATAAGGGTAGGTGACTATCTGTCTGGTCTAACAGGTAAGCTTTTAGGCACAATAGGAAAAGAGCACAACATTGTATCGTAGTGTTATGTCTGGAATCCTGTTTTACGTGACAGACCAAAGGGGAGTGGGCGAGGTCAAATCAAGTATTATTTTGTAAAGAAATCAAGGATTATTTTATAAAGAAGCAAGGATTATGTTATTTAAGCTGTTGACGTAGGTTTAAAGATCGTCACTTGTTAAAGCTTCGCACCTTGTGGATAGTCCTCGACCAGAGTACAGGTGTGAGGAACAACATTTCACTGACTGCTCAGTGCGGGTTAGACTGGTGTGACCGGATGTCTCATAGACAGAATGCATATCGTTCACCCTGTACCAGCTGTCAGATTCAGGACCGCAGAGCTGCCAACCCAGACACAAAAACCCAGACACCCAGTCTACACACCCTGCAAATAAACAAGCCTTTCATTAATTCTGATTGTTAGTCTAATACAGGGCTGGATTAACCAGGTAAACCATGGATTAGGGCCCTAAAGTCTGATGGGGCCTCGGCTGTGATTGACCCCTTTACCTTCTGCAGCGCCTCCCTGCTTTGAGGCTGGGAGAGGAACAGAGCTGGAGATGTGAGTCAAATCTCCAGGAGGTCAGACCAGGTATGATGTAGAGTGTAGAAGAAGGAGCCATGTCTAACAGCAACAGAGCAATAGCGCAGAAAAAAAGATGTTGATTTGGACAGTGTTGATGAATTTGTGCACTTTCTGGATTTCACATCACATCTTAAGTGTGAGAAAACTCCACGAGAAATGTGAAACGCTACAGTATATAAAATAGAATTACTTGGTGGAATCAACATTTTCCAAATGTGGCGGTGCTTTGTTTTCCAAGATGAGACTCATCAAAAACTCAACTCAGATCTACAATGATCCAGGATAGAGTGAATGCACTTGCCATCGTGTCCAATGAGCACAATTTCACACCCACCCTAAGATTTGATGATGTAATTGACATGTTTGCAACTATGAAATCACACACAAACGTATTTTCACATTGTTGCATATTTTCAGTATTAGGGCGAGGAGTGGAGAAGATTGTGAGCGGATTGAACAGAAAGTGAGGAGCCAGGCCGTGAAGTGGTTTATGAGTGAGGGTCTTTAAATTGATCCGTTCAGTAACAGGGAGCCAGTGGAGCTTGGCAACCACTGGAGTGATGGGGATGCGACTGTGTATTTTGTGGGTGATCCGCCAATCAACTAACAACCGGGTTCCTACTTACTACTAGGAAAACAGAGGCATGTGGAGTGAGGAAACTTGCCTCAGATTTTGCCCCGACCAGGAATCGAACCAAGATCTTCTCACTCGATTGCAAGGCGAGCGCACTAACCACTACCCTACGGGACACCCGATCTCCTGTGATCCCTCACTCCAGCTTTGCCCCCCTACCCCCTAGTCTTTCAGTCCTGCCTTACATGTCATGAAATGTATATTAAGAAAATCGCATACCTTCAACATCACAGGAGTGCAGCTGGCTGACGATCCCAGTTTCGTTTTCCTTATCCGCTGGCCAGTGGTATAGAAAGAGGGTCGTGTGTGTTGATCCGGCGTCACAGACAATGCCATACTGAAAGACACAGTGACAACAGCTGCTCAGCTTTCGAGCCATGTCTCAGTTGAACTTTCAAACCGCACTTACCACTTTGCCTTGAGAATAGTAAGAAGAATCCTTGCATTTGATCCCACCCTCCCTGAACCCTATTGACCCAGCTCCCTCCCTGCTGCGCCTTATCACATCTTCGAGACGTCGCAAAGTACTTTATAGAATATACTGTAAAGTGAATTGACTGTATATTTTGTGGGAGAAACGCGGCAGCCAATTGCGCACAGCACCGTCCCTACAAACAAATTGGTTTGAGTGACCAATTTATTAATTTTTTTTTGAAGGAATTTTTATCTCGGGATAAGCATTCCACCAATCGACTGACAACCAGGTTCCTACTTACTGCTAGGTAAAGAGAGGCATGTTGAGTAAGGAAACTTGCCCAATATTTCATCCTGCCGGGAATCAAACCCAGGTCCCTCGCCTGCAAGGCGAGTGCTCTAATTACTGAGCTACAGGACTCCACAGGAGATCATTCAGTTATTACCGCGGATGTGGCACATTATTGGGGCATTAAAAACCCGCTGAAAACGAGTGAAAAATCTTCATCAATCTTCGTTTTGTTTTATAAATGAGACTGACCTTCATTCCTTTGGGTGAAGGAACATCATAGATTTCTACAAGGCTCAAGATCAAGGCTATAATTCCAGAGATGAGAGCAACGCAGATGAGGCTTCCCACAACAATGTGCTTCAATCCAGCTGCCATGTCTCAGTACCTGGAAAAGAAAACCATGTTCCAAGCTCCATGAGCCAATCACCCCATCCTCATCTGGTTCTATAAGATCTTCATCCACCTGCGCATTGAATTCAACATCCTCATTCTCACCTTTAATTCCTTCCGCAATCTTGTCCCTCCCTGACCCCTATTGACCCAGCTACTCCCTTCATTCAGCCTGATTCGCGTGCCCATCCCTACTTGCTCTTCCTTTGTAATTGGTAATCCTCGCTACCACAAACCAATTCTTCCACCCATCTTCGCGTACCTCACCCAACTTTTTCTCCAACTCCAAATGTGAGGAGATGATGGATTTCCTTGGGTCCAAACTTGAAGAGAATGATCTGCTGCCTGTGCCTTTGCTGCAGTGTTCCCCTCCCCACCTCCCCCACCGTCCTCCACTTTCCCTCCTTCCATATCTTTGATTCTGTACCTACCCATCACTCATCAAATCATGTTCAACGATATGTTTGCAATCTGGACATGCCACTGAATAGATGACTCGCTATTACTGGTAAAATATAATATCTCTTTAACCAACAATAGATGATAATAAGGCATCACTTATGGCTAAATAAGGCATAGATTTCAGTTAAATATTAATCTTAATCCACATTATTCCCTCGACTGAAATTATTATTCAAAATACAAAGGCGTGTCCTTGATAAAAATTGACTTCAGTAAACAGCAAATTGCCAAACTCAGCCCAAACATTTTTGGGATAACATGTTCAAGCACAAAGAAAAATTAAGCAAAACATTTAGCAGACAAATGATCCACTTCTTTCCCATAACAATCAAATGCTGCAGTAATTTAACTCTATAGAGGTGACTAAAGAGTTTGTATTAAGCGCAGCTACTGATCCGTGTCTGATATTGGCAGGTTTACGGTATAAGAAAAAATTACTGACCCTAAAGGGTAGTTGAACACTGGTGTACTTTTCTATTTGAGTCACAAAGCTTTTTGTGATAATAAAAAGCTTTAATTCTTAATTCTTAAATTTTTGTTGGTAGGAAATCATAATAACGCCCTACATGTAGGGACTTATCTTGTCAACAAAACACGTAAAAGTGCTTCACAGGAATTACTGTAAAGTATAGTCGCTGTACATTTGTAGTCAAAAGCAGTAGCCCAATTTGCACACAGCAATGTCCAACAAACAGCCACAAAGTAAATGATAAATTTTATCTGGGGGAGCTGTTGGATACCAGCAGTTTCGAATGCAATCTTTAACATCTACCTGACAGACAGAGGGGAACTTGATTTAATGTCTCGACTCAAAGCCTGCATTTCCGACAATACAACACTCCTCCACCACTGAACTGAAGTGTCATCTTAGATTATGAGATAAAGTCCCGTCGTGGGGCTTGAACCCACAACTTGACTCGAGAGTGGCCGACTGCGACACTTTCAGAACAACAACAACAACAAAATTGCATTTAGAGAGCGCCTTTCACGTCAGGAGGACGTCCCAAGACGCTGGACAGTTGGGTCGGGACCCGAGCATTGGGGGGAAATGGTCAGGGTGAGGGGAGGGAAGGGAGGGAGCGAAGAGGGGGTAGAGTCGAGAGGGGAGCTGAAGGCACGGTCGAAGAGAAAACCTTCATGAAAATGCAAAAATCCAATTTGATGATATTTCGGCACAGGTATTTTCCTGGAAAATGCTGATCTACAGAAGGCTCATCCACCAGTTGGATACACAAGTACTTCTGCCAGAAGTTCAAACCCATTTAGTTCAGCCTGTATACATCCACATTTATCATAGTGATTCATAGAAATAAAACACCTCGACACAAGGCAGCATCTCGGAGCGCTTAACGGTGGCAGAGCCTGACGCCAAGCCGGGGGGACGGAGGAGGTAATGGTAAGCACCGTCGAAGAGGAAGGTCTTCTAAAAGAGGGGAAGGAAAAGACAAGGCAGAGTGATTGGGGGAGAGTTTAAAAGCTTCAGGGCTTAGTGGCTAATGGTAGCTTAGCCAGCCGAGGGAGGCATCGGGTCGTGGAGTAGGGAGAAAGCAGGTCAGAAAGGTAGGGAGGTGGCAAGGTGTGAAGGAATTTGTAGAATATATATATTCTAGCAAAAAGGTTAAAGTGGAAATCAAACTGTGTAAACCTCACCTTATCCGTCCAGACTCTCCTGTTTCAAGCCAACTAGGAAAAATCGTGGATGTCTCTCACCTCTATGATCACAAATGCATTGGTTTAAATGCAACATTGTGCTTTAGGTTTCAGTGGTTTAGCTTTATGTGGGCGTTTTCATACTAAATTCAACCACATAATGCAGCAATGTAAATAATCCAAATCTTAACTCTTTCAATTCCGGATGATATTGCAAATACCATCAGCATTGTGCATTTTTGGTTTTCGGGTTGTGGCAGATGCCCTTAACAACGGTGTATCTTTAGATAAAAAGATTTCACTCAACAACAAACACCATCCAAGCTCATCCCTCGCTTGAATTGACGGGATTACTTGAAATTAAATCTTGGTTTTTTTTTGTTGCCTCATTATGCTTTTGTGAGTGAGATGAGGGCTGGGTTCAAATGTTAGTATTCAAATGTTTCTCCACTGATATTTTGCAGAAAATTTAATCTGAAAAACCTGTTCTGCCCAAGACTTTCATCTGATTCACTAGTTTGGATATGGAGTACTGTAGTTCAGGTCCATTTAGTTCAGGCTGCAGACGCCTTTGTTATGAGCTAAAGTGAGTCATAGAAATAGCAAAAAGATCAAGGTGGAAACAAATTGTATGAACCTCACTTTGTCCATCCATACTGTCCTATGTCAAGCTGACTGAACAAAATCAACATCAACAACAACGTGGATTTATATAGCGCCCTCCACACCGGATGGCGTCTCAGAGCGCTTTACAGTAACGGATCCCGGCGCTGAGCCAGGGGGAGGGGGTGGAAGGTGACCAAAGGCGAGGTCGAAGAGAAAGGTCTTCGACAGAGACCTGAAAATAGGAAGAGAGGGAGTGAGGCAAAGGGAGTGAGGAAGGGAATTCCAGAGCCATGTTGCATAGTGGCTGAAGGCATGGCCGCCGAGGGTGGAGGACTCGGGGGACGAGGAGGAGGCCTGACCCGGAGGAACGAAGGCAACGGGTACTGTTTTGAGGAGAGAGGAGGTCAGAGAGGTCGGGGGGTGCAGAGAAGTGGAGGGATTTGAATACAAGGGTGAGGATCTTGAAATCGATCCTCTCTGGGATAGGCAGCCAGTGCAGTCTGGCAAGGACTGGGGTGATCGGGGAGCGGAGTTTTGTGCGGGTGAGAATGCGGGCGGCAGAGTTTTGAATGATCTGGATTTTATGGATGGTAGTGGGTGGGAGACCGGCGAGGAGGGAGTTAGAATAGTCCATCTAAGAAGTGACAAAGGCATGGACCAGGGTTTCAGCGGCTTTCGGAGAGAGGTATTGGCAGAGGCGGGTGATACGAATTCAAGATCCTCATCCTCACCTACAAGGCCATTTAAGGCCTTGCTCCCTCCTACCTCTCTGACCTACTATCCCCCTACTTACCTGCCGGTACCCTCCATTCTTCTAGCTCCGGTCTACTCCACACCCCCCGCCCTAATCACCCTAGCATCAGTGGCCGGGCCTTCAGCCTCTCAGCCCCGAGGCTCTGGAACTCCATCCCCCAGTGCCTTCACCGCTTCCTCCCTTTCCTCCTTCAAGGCCGGTTTCAAGACCTTTCTCTTCAGCCATGCCTTCAGCTCCCCTCTCAACCCCCTCCTCACTCCCTCCCTTCCCTCTCCTCACCCTGACCATTTCCCCCCTGGTTGGGTCCCGACCCAACTGTCCAGCGCCTTGGGACGTCCTCCCGATGTGAAAGGTGCTCTATAAATGCAATCTTGTTGTTGTTGTTGATGCGTCGGAGGTGGAAGAAGGTGGTGCTGGTGAGGGACAGGATGTGGGGGAGGAAGTTTATTAGGGGAGTTGACTTGGATGACTCTCACTTCTATTATCACAACCTTATTGGTGTAATGTAGTGCTGATGCCAACATTCTGTGGTGTTTTCAGTAGTTCAGCTTCACCTGGGCTTTCTCATACCATGTTCTCCCAGAAATTACTGCATAATGCAACAAACGCAAATCAAAATCCTCTTTCAATGGCAAATGATATTGCAGATACCATCAGCATTGTGCATTTTTGCTTTTCAGGTCATGGCAGAGACCCTCAAGAATTCGCTCCCACAGAAAATGCAACAGCTCAGGGCAACAACTGAGGGAATGCAGATTCCACGGAAACACAGCAAGTGCGGATTTTGCAGCAAGGTTGCTCAAGAATGAGCCAGTAATTTATTATACAACTATGTAGTGAGTATGGATTATGCAACGCAGCAAGTTCATATTATGCAAAATGCTGAGTGTATCGAGTATGGATTATGCTATAACGCAGTGAGCGCACATTATATATCAGGATATTCTGTGAAGCGCGTTGAGACGCCTCGAAGACACAATAAGGCAATATAACAAATAAAAGGATTATTAGTATAGAACACATATTTTGTACAATAATGCAAGTGTAGATTATAGGCAGGAGTGGAGTGGAGCCTGACACAACAGTATCAAATTCTAGTAGCGTCCTTGAAAATGTGGTCACTGGATATCGAGGGCAAGACATCCCTTGGTCTAACAGACCCACTGGGTGAAGGTTTCAGCGGCCAGCGGCACGCCGCTCTTCTTTTATGCTTTGTTGTTACTCACGATAAATAAAATGTCATCTGGTGGGTGTGAAGCGAATGGGTGGGATCACAGATTTATAAATCTTCACATCAAAAAAAAATTTGAACAATTTGGGTGAGCTTCAGAGAAAGGAACGAGGACTTTATTTTCAGCAGTGTGGGGTAAAGGTCCTTTCAGTATATTCTGTGAAGCGCTTTGGGACGTCCTCCCGACGTGAAAAGCGCTATATCAAATGCAAGGATTATTATTATTATTAACAACTTACATTTGTACAAGGGCGGGAAGATGTCCCAAGGCATTGGACAGTTGGAGGTGGGATCAGAAGGGTTGGAGGGCGGGGAGGGAGGGTGACCGAAGGCGCGGTCAAAGAAGATCTTCAGAAGAGCTTTGAAGGAGTCAAGGTAGTGATGCAAAGGGATGGAGTTCCAAAGGGTGAGGGCAGAGAGGCTGAAGGTCTAACTGCCCTCACCCTTTGGATGAGGTGGGCTGGGTGGGGGACATGGAGCAGGCCCACTGAGCGAGTAGAGGGGGAACAGGTTGATGCGGAGTTAGCAGGTCACAGAGGAACCCTATCCTCTGGGAGATGGGGAGTCTCTGGAGCCAGGTGAAGGTGGAGCTGATAAGGTCATGGAGCCTGGTGTAGCAGAGGACATGAGCTGCAGAGCTCTGAATGATCTACAACTTGTGGAGGGAAGACTTGGGAAGGCTGGCAGACAGGGAGTTAGCGTAGTCGAGCCTGGATGTGTTGAATGCATGGATTAGGGACTTGGTGGCCTGAGGGGAGAGGCAGTGGCGGAGTTGAGCAATGTTGTGGAAGTGGTGAAGACAGAACGGGTCATGGCACGGACCTGTTCTGCCCATTTAACAACATTCAAATAATCCCTAAAATTTCCTGGGACCCCACAAGTCCTGAAAAAGCAATTACGTGATCATCAGCGGAACTGTTAGCACTGTAAAGTAAATTGACACAGCTCAGATTTTACATTTTGATGTTCATCCTGGAGGCGTTCAGCATATAGCCCAGACTCCAACCAATTTCATGTTGCAAAATCTACAAAAAAAAGGAAAGGAGCAATTATAATAATAATCCTTGCATTTGATATAGTGTCTTATCACATTGTGAGACGTCTCAAAGCGCTTCACAGAATATATTGTAAAGTGAATTGACTATGCATTTTGCGGGCAAAATGCAGCAAACAATTGTGCACAGCAGCGTCCCACAAACAGTCATGGATTGAGTGACTAAATTATTGTTTCTTTTTTAAAAAAAATTGAAGGGATTATTACCCCAGAAAGCGATCTGCCAATCAACTAACAACAGGGTTCCTAGTAACTACTAAGCAAACAGAGGCGTGTGGGGTAGGAAACTGGAAAAGGAGCAATTAGACATAGTATGCTGTTCAAGCTCTGCTCCAGGCTGTTTGCCTACAGGGCTGGTCTATAGCAGCTTTACAGCATGACGTGGAAGCTGAGTTGGCAATGAAATGTTAGAATCGGGCCAATCATCTCTTGGTAGTCTGGTTCCCGAGCCAAGCAGATCTGTAGTACTCCAGGGCACTGCTGATGACAGACCAGTCAGTCTGGCTCATTGGCAGGTCGTAGAAGGGCAGACCAGTTATTGGGGGCAGAGATTATTTTGAATCGATTCCTGTTAACCCTGCCAGTTAAAGGTAATATGGTATGATTTAAAAGGGTGGTCTTAGCTGAACAAGCAGCGGAAAGCTTGCCGGACAATGTTTTCAGCGGCAAGCTGTGTGGGTTTAGCTGGTTAAATTCCAGTAGTACCCAACCTACACTCCCCAAGCCCTGGCTCTTGCCAACCTTAGCCTTGCACTTTCTGGGATTAGGTAAGTAGGGTGCATCCTTCCAGGGGAGAGCGTGCATTCCATTCCAGACATAGGGAAAATTCCATGTTCAGGTGGGATAAATATGTGGAACTGTCAGCCTCACTCGAAAACTCTTAAGTATGAAAATAGGTTTCTGCAAGTAGACACAGAGGATATAGATTCAAAAGGCAATTTCAGGGCAGTTACCAGGAAGTATTTCTTTTCCTAGAGCCCTGGGTACAGATTGCCAGAAAGGGTGGTTGAGGCCAGGAATACTGATCCTATTTAAAAACACCTTGACCGAGTGATTGGAAGACAGGAGGGTGAGTATTCTGGAAGGATGAGATTAATGAAGCCAAATGGTCTTCTTCATCCAAACTGATTTTGTGATCTTGTGAACAATTGTAGAAATACACATCCCAAATTAAGAGTCAATTTAAGAATTTGCCAAACTCTGCACCCTCTCTCTGAAATATCAAGGATTACTATTTTATTATAATCAAATCCCGTGAAGCAAAGAGAACCGCTACCTTTTTCTGGAATTTAATATTTTTCCAGGTGGAGTGGTCAAACTTGTAACCGTCCACCAGTAGAGTCAGTAGAATCCAGCCATCGGTGCAGTAATTCTTCAGCCTGAATTTGGGCACTTTTGGGTTCTCAGCCTAACAAGACAGCAACCAGGATGGAATCAGCTAACGGATTGACGCTTGTAACACTGAACGAGGAAAGGCCATCAAGCCACATTCAAGCTGCACAGAACTTATTCCATCGTATACTGCATACTCCCCCCACCCCTAATCCATGAATCCTATCCTCTCTTAATTGGCCCATTAGCAAAATGAGCCTAAAGTTCAGGGTTGGTTTAAAGGGGGAATAGTCTGTGTTGAGGAGACAGAGCCCAAAGGAGGGGTATAGGAACATAGGAACAGGAGTAGGCCATTCAGCCCCTCGAGCCATTCTATTATCATCATGGCTAATATATATATATATATATATTCTAATTATATTATTATTATATATTATAGTAGAAATTGCTGATCTTTCCCTAACTCCAATTAAATAACTTAATAAATAACTTAAATAATAAATTAAATAACTGCAACAATGTATGTAAGTGATACCTGGGTATTTTCGTAACAGGAATCACAACACAATACAAAATAGCATTTGTCTCGTGCCTTTCACGTCGCGAGGCATCCCAAGGCACAACCAGTAGATTGTGCTGTAGGGATCAGGAATTCTGGATGGTTTTCTCCGCACTAACCCTGGGGAGATCAAGGCAAATTTACCATCCTTGTATAGCCTTGACTGAGACCCTCAAACTCAGCATGGATCGGGATTTGAGTCAGTGGTCCATAAGATGGTGCTCTATCAATTTTCTGGGTGGTCAGCCAGGTGTCTTACACGTGCACAAACCCATCACCACTCTTAAGAGTCTCCAAACCAAGCTGGTTTTCAGAGAAGCACGTTTTGAGATCAAGTTAAAGAATTCGGTGATGTAATAAAATGCTGAGAAAGCCTGAGGACGAAAGAGAAAGAGCCGATTAATGTGGCGCATTAACATCAGACATTTGACTAGCTTGCTCCGTAAGAACATGGGAATCCATCCTGAGGGACTGTTTGGAAGCGCTGGTAACAAAAAAATCCCCAATCTCATGCTGGAGACTGGTTACAAGTCACTTTGCAATGTAGTCCTGTAACCTCCTACAGCCCCATTGACCTGCCAACTCCCTTCGCTCGGCAAACACAGGCTCGCTTCATGTTTTACCCTCCCCTGCTGTGCTGTCATCAGCAGTGCCCTGGAGTCCTGAGGGAACAGTCACCCATCACCACCACACCATGGAGAAAATGAGCTGAGTGGCTAGTTAATGTGGATCTTTGTTAGCCAGGACACTGGGTGCAAGACGTTATGGGATCTTTAAAGTCTTCTTGAACCGGCATTCAGGACCTCAGTTTAACACCTCCTCTGAAGGGCAAGAATGCAGCAGCCCCTAAGCGCTGCACCAGAGCGTTGCACCCTTAACGGAGCTCAAGTCCTATCGGGCAGTTTGAACTCACAACCTTCTGACACAGAGGCGACTGAGCCAGACTCCAAGTTAAACAAGACGCTAAGTACTATAGTAAAATAGAGCGATGTCTTACAAAGAATTTCCCATTTATTGGTGGTTGATAGACGCCGTTAAATGCACATAACTTGCTTCCATGACATGCTGTAAAGTTGAAGAGCGTTTTCACAATTTCCTGACATTTTCCTGGTCTTCCTGTTCCAACGAGAGTTACGCTCCTGTTTTTTGTCGTAAGGTGAGGGTTTCTTGTCTGAAGTACATGGACTGCCAAAGATGTAATCCAGGGTCGTGCTGGTCATGTATCCCTTCAGGTAACAAGGGTTCTCAATGGGAACTGTCAAGTCCTTCCCCTGTTGAGACAAAAGCAATTTGACAGAGAAGCACATGAGGGCTTTCTTTACAAGTGCATGTCATTAGATATCAAAAATAATAATTAATAATAATCTTTACGATTAATTTAGCACGTCTCACTTCGGGTGTTCGGCTCAAAGTTCTTCACAGGATATATTGTAAAGTGTGTTTTGTAGATGAATTTTTGGAATAGTGTAATGGAATCTTTAATGACCACCTGAACAGACAGATAGGACGATTTAATTTATCTGCAGGATTGAATAACCATGTCTAGTGTGTGTTAAGTGCTGTAGTTCCTGTTTTCCATATCGTCCAAACCTTTAATAATGCAGCGAGATCTCTCTTATTGCTTTCCTCTTTCCTGTAGCACAGATAGCTGTGTGTGTAGATAGAGTAGTTGTAGCCGAAGAGTTCAAATTTGGCTTCTGTAGTCTTATTGCTGATGGCTTCCAATGGCATGAAACTGATTTGAGTGGAGGCACCACCGAGGTCCAGTGCTCCGTGAATCTTTTCCTTCATTCCAATCTCGAACACGCCACTCTTTGAATAATGGGACACAGTGAAAGAGCAACGAAACTTTACATCTACACAGTGGATTTCACTTCGGGAGGCCCTCTCAAACCGCTTCACAAAGCTGACTGAGAACCTCTCATTCTAGTAACTACCCTCAGCTTGGGCTCTCAGAGTATAGAAATCTGCTGAGAGTGTGTCACAGACATGTATGAAGAGGCTCAGGAGATGGGCTTCTACTTTGCCCAAGCTGTGAGCCAGAGATGGAAATCCAGAGGGGTCTGACGACACTAAAGGGATCTGGCGACACTTTACCCCAGAAAAGTATTAAAGGTAATAATAATCCTTGCCTTTGCCCCAAACTAAACCTCAATCTGAGGTCCAAAAATCCAGTTTTAGCCTGGTAAAAAACTTTTCTTTTTATCAGAATTTTATCAGAATTTGTGGAAAATTGTTAAATTCGGGTGGTTTTGATGCTATTTTTCTGCAGTTCAAAAGAACCACAGTTTTGCATGCATGATCTTCAATTTTAAGACAAGATCATCGAATATGTTAAGGCTCACCACCTGGACTTGCTGCTGAAGTGAATTCAGATCTCACCATCGGAAATGCCTTCAGAATATAGTTGATGGTAATCCACTCATACATCGCTTCCTCCATTCCGCTTAAAATCCTGGCTTCTCGGAAATTCAATGGATACGATCGGATTGTGTTTGCCAGTACCTTGAGAATCTCATCTGATTGGGCAGCAGTCTGTATTCTGTGAGAAGACAACATCAGCTACTCACATCCTTTTCCCCCTCCGCCCTCTCCCCCTACCCCCATCCTATTCCTGCTGATTATACCTGATTGCTGTAATACTCTTTGAGATGTGAGGGGTTTGCGTGGGGAGGGGATGGGGGTGGGGGGGGGGGGGTGGGGGCAGGTAATAAAGTTGAAACCATACGTTTAATATGATTTATTGTTGTTGTCACTTATGCAAAGTGTGAGTTACGTCAAACTTGGATAGAATTTAAAACTCCTGAATGGGACCTTGGGCATATGTATGACCTTGTGCGGTGTTCCTCAGGGCTCTGTCCTTGGCCCCCTCCTATTCAACATCTATATGCTCCCTCTTGGTGACATCATCAGCAAACATCGGGTCAACTTCCACATGTATGCGGATGACACCCAACTGTACCTCTCTGTCTCCACCCTTGACTCCAGGACCACTGCTGTCTTGACAGAATGTCAGTCAGGCATCAGGTCCTGGATGAGAGCTAACTTTCTTCAGTTGAACATCAACAAGACCGAGGCTCTCCTGAATGGCTCCCATACCAGACTCTGGGATCCTATAACCCACATCCTCGCCCGACTCCACTGGCTTCCCATCACACAGAGGATACAGTACTCACCTTCAAAGCTCTTCTTGGCCTTGCTCCCCCCATCTCTGCGATCTCCTAACCCCCTACCATCCTGCCCGCTCCCTCCGCTCTGCGGGCTTCAGTCTGCTCCATGTCCCCCGCCTCGCTCGCCCCACTATTGGCGGGTGGGCTTTCTGCCACTCTGCCCCCATCCTCTGAAACTCCATCCCGCAGTCCCTGTGCCTCGTCCCCTCCCTTGCCTCCTTCAAGACCCATCTCAAGACCCTCCTCTTCGACCGTGCTTTCGAAATCCTTACTTCCCCCAATGCCCTCCACCCTCCCCGATCCCAAACGCCAGCTTGCGTCCGAAACTCTGACTGGCCAGTGCCTTGGGATGTCCTGCCAACGTGAAAGGTGCTGTGTACAAATGTAATTTTGTTGTTGTTGCTGTTGTTGCTTGTCCAGTTGGGGCCACCCTATCCATTATGGCTTTGGCTTGCAGGGTTAACATGAGCTAAGTGGATGACTCCCTGCCCCTGAAGTGGGTTTTGAAAGAGGTGAGACGGGGGCGAGTGGGAGGGACTCTGAGATGGATTTCGGAAAGCAGGGCCAGAATTGTTGAAAGCTCACCCACCAATCGTGGGAAGGATAGGGCCGGGGACATGGAGCAAACCACTTTGCCATCAGGTTATACTACTCATGGCTGTGCACGGTGTGTGCGTATTACTGCCCACAAAACACACAGTCAGTGTACTTTACAGTATATCCTTTGAAACGCTATCCTCCTTGGTATTGGTGCTATACCAAATGTGAGGATTATCACATTTAATTATTAATTAATTATTATTAATTATTAATTGACAGGGAAAAAAACTGGGGAATGGGAGTGTAAAACCTTTAAGTAGAATTTACTTGCATTTTATACATGAGACTGACCTTGGTTTCTTTGACAGGAGTCACCTTTTTGAGTGTCCCATGTTTCAATGTCAAGGCTATAACTCCAGAGATTAGAGCGAAGCAGGTGAAAATTCTCACAACAATGTACCTTGAACTTGTTGCCATGCCTTAATATCTAAGGCAGAGAACTGAGAGAAAGAGAGATAGAGAGACAGACAAAAGAGAGTGAGACTGTCCACAAATCTTTCCTGTGTGTATTCTTTGCCAAGGCGAAACTTTAGGCAAGTTCCCTTATTCCACACGTCTCTGTTTACCGAGCAGTAAGTAGAAATCAGCTTGTCAGTCGATTGGCACATCACTAACTGGGGGTAATAATTTCTTGTATGTGCACATGTAGAAATTGGGTGAAGATCTGGACTGGGCTTGGCTTGTGATTCCCCCATAGCCTAATACGCAGTTAAGTGCTTTGAGAAGTTGGAAGGTGCTATCTAAAACCAAATTGTATTGTGCTGTAACACAACAATAATAATCATTCTTGTATTTGTTATAGAGCCTAAAACGTCAAAGTATCGAAAAGCAGCTCATGAGAGGTGATTATAGGTGATTTATAGGCAAATGCAATTGCCAACTTGTGCACAGCGATAACATGAGGACAAATAATCTGGATAATTACCGACCAGAACAATGGCGGGAAAAAAAAACTCCTTTATCGTGAGCTCGCACTAATATGTCACACTGCCCCTCCAAACTCTCTATTTCTCCTCCTCCAGTCGCAATATGGTCATGTCTGTGACAGTTCAGTAATGGTATGGACGACAGAGCACTGAAGAAGAAAATGAATCCATGGGAATATACATGTGTCAGCCTGCCTCACTTGAGTCAGAAGTTTGTGAGTTCAAGCTCCACGTCAGAACTTTGAACTCACAATCTCGGCTGACACTGCAATTCAGTGCTGGGGACACTGCATTGCTGGAGGTGACGAGATGTTAAACCGAGGTCCCGTCCACCTGTTCAGGTGGACGTTAAAGATCCCACGGCACTATTTGAAAAGAGAAGGGAGTTTCTTTCTCCCGGTGTCCTGGCCAACAATGCCCCAGATACATTTGATGATTCACTTTGTGACTATTGAAGTGACTTCGCTGTGCACAAGTGGGCCGCCGTGTTGGCCTACAGAATGCACGATCACTGCACTCTACAGTGAATCCTGTCCTTCTGAAGTGAAGGGAGTCACAGTGTCAAATGCAGTGAAAATTATTAACAGCCAAAAGATTAAAGTAGAAATTAAAATGTATAAACTTTACTGTACCTGTCCGGATAATCTTGTTTCGCTAGCGTATTGACGGAAATCTTGGTTGGGTTGTCCTTCTCTCGCCTGCAATATTGCAAAGTTACTTTGATAAGAGGTCAGATGTTCATGTGAGGATTTGGCTAAATACTGCAAATATAAATACACTTGAAATAGACTCCTGTCTGGGTTAATTTTTATAGCTAAGTTCTACCAATGAGTACAACGTGATGCACAATCAAAAGGATCTTCACCTTAACTCTTTCAGTGCCACGAGTTCTTGGCATTGCTGCACCACCAGCTCTCTGTTGCCCTGAGTTTGCTGCTTAATGGTGGTGTGGAAAACGCAGGTAATTCACTTTGTGGTATATTCCGTGAAGCGCTTTGAGACATCTCGAAGACGTGATAAGGTGCTATATCAAAGGCAAGGACTACTATTATTATCACATGCTGATGTAGTGAGCTTTGCGTTACATATCGTTAACGAGAATTCTCATTACATTAGCCCCTTGTTGTCTCAAACTAGAGAGGGGGAGAAGGTAAAAATGACAAAAGAGAGAAAAAATAAGGCTGCAGTCCACTCACTGTTCTTTTGGAATCTTTTTCTCTTTCTCGTTGTTCCGGACTTACTTGCTGGTTTCTGGCGCCTTGCCTCTTGTTCGCTGGTACAAAATTGAAGGGCTGTGATTCTCTTACCTGTCCCCAGGTCAACATGAGCATTGATGGTTGTGGTAGAAGTGTGAATGATGAGACTTCTTTTTGGCCAAAAGACTAGGGAATCTGGGATTGTCCTCCTTAGCCCAGAGAAGGTTGAGCAGAGATTTAATAGAGGTGCCAAAAATTATGAGTGTTTTTGGTAGAATAAATAAGGCGGAACTGCCTGGTGGGTCGGTAACCAGAGAAAATCCAGATTTAAGATAATTGGCAAAAGAACCAGAGAGGAGATGAGGAGAATTTTGTTTTACGGAGCAAGTTGATTTGATCCGGAATGCATTGCCTGAAGGGTCGTGGAAACTGATTCGATAGTAGCTTTGAAAAGGGAATTGCATAGATGCCTGAAAACAAAAAAGTTGCAAGGCTAGGGGCAAAGAGCGGGGGAGTGGGACTAATTGGATAACTTTTTCAAAGAGCAGGCACAGGCACGATGGGCTGAATGGCCTCCTTCTGTGCGGTATGATTCTGTGATTCTATGATTAAAACTTCCTTGTCAAAAGAAGTTCTCATCACCCCAGCTGTCTATTCACTCCATCACTTTTGGAAAGTAGCAAATATTGAGAGACCAACTGAGCCCCAAAATAGGTTTATTTGATAAAGAATTAAATAGCATTGCTACAAACAACATATATCACATGAGTACGATTTGTCACCAACAGAGGATGCCCAGAGAATATCCATACAATCCAAACGTGCAGTTAAAAAGGATTACACTTCTCCAAATCATAGGGCGATTTCCCCATTCCCAGTAATGGGCATAAAGAGTCTTTATACCCAAAGCTGTTCCTTCCTGAACTTGGGCTAGAAAGCAAGGTTTAGTTCACAGCTTAAAATAAACAATCAATTCACTTTACGGCGTATTCTGCGAAGCGCTTTGAGATGTCTAGAAGACGTGATAAAGCACTATATCAAATGCAAGGATTATTATTATTATTTACTGAGGGGAAGAGATTGTCTCCCTTTTAACCTCACATTTTAAGAGCAAACTCCTGTTTAAAAGATTCACCAATTTGTTCCATTGACATTTTCTCTCTCACTTTACAAAAATAGATATTCTAGTTGAAGTTGCGTTCTCTCGTGTCTTGAATTCGCTCTGTTGCTTGCTCTCACGAGTCATTTCTCTTTATTTCTCATTCTGTCACATTCTATCTCTATTTTGTGTTTCCTCTCTCTCTCTGTTTCTCTAAAGCCGTGCCTCCTACTCTCTTTCCCCAGAAGGTCTCTCTCTTTCTCTCTACATTCCTCGCTCTCTTTCTCTGATATCATTCCTTCTTCTCTGCAGTCAGGCACCAGCCGATTAAAAGCCTTTTACTTGAAAGCTTTGAAGGGAAAGGAGGAAAAGTTCTTCTCTCTTGGGAACCCCAAAATCTCATGAATTTTGCTGCAAAATTATCCTTTCATTCTCTTTTTAATTCTAGCATCTGAGTCCTGAGCATCACATCTAGTTCCTGGACATCATATCTGAGTACATCTGGATCCCTGAGTCTTTGGAGGCAGTTACGAGTAACCCTCTAGTTGTCTGGCTACGACTTAGACAATTTGACAATTCTGCAAGTCCTTATTCGCATCTCATCTTCTTCATTTTGAAAGCCGATCTAAGTTGCGTAATAATTGTATTGGCAGGAAGGGGGTCATCTATCTTGTTTAACTCATAGCTACACTAAACAAATATGAATCAATCAACCCAGCTTCCCCTCCCACCCCCTATGAGTTTGGAGTGCATATCAGAAAGCTACCCCTTCCCCCCCATTTCATTACTATGTATACAAGAGAAACCGCGGGTTGTATCAAACTGCCTAAAGGAAGATTACAGTGACATTTCACACAAAACCTGCTGGTCAGCCTGAAAGCTCACATCTCCTCGGGGAAGGAGGGGGCAAGAGAGGAGGGCCCCTTGATATTCCTATCAAGTTGCGAGTGCATGATGTATTTCAATGTGATTTTCCTAATTGCTGCATATGCATGCAAAAAAGCGATGAGAGTTACTAAATGTTTTTTTTGTCGTGTGCGCGTTCTTCCTGGGTTGGTGAGGAGGCTACCAGTGCAACGAGTGTGTGATATAGGTTTATTCCACCACTGATGTAAATTCTGAGAGGCGCTGAGCCAAGAACAGGCTTCCCTGGGTGAGGGAAGCAGATGAGAAGTTTCCACTGATGTACACTCTTTCCACTCTCCGATATATGTGAAGGGAACCTGAGGGGAGTACCGCATTATCGGAGGTACCGACCTTCAGATAAGATGTTAAACTGAGGTCCCTTCTGGCTGTTAAAGTGAATATTAAAGATCCCAAGGCACCAGTTTCTCCCGGTGCTTTGGTCAACGAATCTCCCAAATACAATTGCCCATTCACTGGCTTCATGGCTGTCGCACACGCTGCCTGTCCTTCTCATTGAGACCCCAGGAGTTGGACTGAGGACCCAGGAAGCTTGCAAAGAGTAATAGAGAAAATTAGGTAAGCTTAGCCCGCAAAGTGAAGCACACGTGCGTGTGTGTGTTTGTGTGTGTGAAATGACAGACGATAGATTTCACCAGCTTTTCCTGAGCTCTGAACAAAGGACAAGATGGATGACGGGAGCGCTGGGGATTGAGCAACAGATTGACCACTAAGTGACTTAACATTAGGCAGTGCAGCCTGGCGCCAGGCAGTGCAGCCTGGCGCCAGCCAGTAAATAATTGCACAAATTCTGCACCTTGTGATGGTGTTCATCATGATAATCATTTCATATCCTCCAACCTTGTCCCCCCACCCCACCCGCCAATATTTCTTCAAAAACATCACAAATTAAGATTCTATAACGAGCAGGTTCAAGCCAACACAGATGGCAATTCACAAACAATGAGCAGTTACGGACGGCGTCGAGTGAATGCCAACAATTACGCTTGTTATACCCACAGGCGGGAAGATAGCAACAGAAAATATTCATAAAAGTAGGAAAACAACATGTAAAAAATGCTGGTGTTTGTGAGTGGAAGCCTTGGCTTTGGCCTTTACCTCAGACTGCTGACTTGCCACGGCGCAAGAGCAGCAGACCTGCCATGGCCAAGGCCATAGCCACTGTTAACCCAATGAAGAACACTGAGGCGGACCACAGTGGCTTCGGCTGACCACTTAATATCGTTGCAATTTCTGATGGGATGATGTTGGTGAGGTTCAGCATGTAGCCCAGGGTCCAGCCGATTTCAGTGTTATCAGCCTGCCATAGAAACAAGGGAAAACATGAGCAAAACTATCGCGGTCACAGGGATCCGATTTTAGAGGAGGGATTGTCGGCCAGGAGAGAAACCCGCTTCTCATTCACTGAATAGTCCCGAGTGACCTGTTCCTGCAGCAAATAGTCTTACCTTCTGTTGAAAGATGATATTGTTCCATGTCCTGGAGTCAAAATTATAGGCATCAACCAGCAAGGTATAGATTTGGGTTGCAGAGAGACAGTAATTCTGCAGATATTTAACCTTTTGCTTTGGGTAGCTTGCCTTGACCTGCAAGAGCCCAAATATTGGATTCATTTTAATGAGGCGTTTTAATGTGGTTTAGGTGTCGCGAGGATTATCAGCAGGAATAATTATAAAGCAGTTTAAATTATCCGGATAAGATGGGAAACATGAAAATATCAGAATGGTTAAACCAACCATCCAAACCTGGGCATCCTTAGCATGAGAATTACTACAAGCAGGTAGCTATACACTAACCCTGTTTCTACCCTGGAGAGATTGCCCTGCTCACCAGTGCCTGAAATCCTCACCTCTTGCCACTCTCGAGAGCAGAATTCTTTGATGGTTTTATTTACAGTGCTCAGCGAAGGGTTTCCTGAGGTTAAATTAAAAAAATCGAAGGTGTAAAAAAATGCAGAGAAGGCCTGAGGAGAAAGGAAAACGCGAGTCAGTCAGTCAGCAACAACAACAACAACTTGCATTGATATTGTGCCCCATCAGTGCAGCGTCAGTGCCAGGATGGTGGTGGGGGCAGGGGGGGTTGTGACCGTAGGTACGGTTGAATAGGAAGGTCTTCAGGCACGTCCTGAAGATGGGGAAGAAAGGGGCAAGGCAGAGGTCAGAGGAATGAGTGTTCCAGAGTTTCGGGGTGTAGTGGCTGAACGTGCGGCCACCGACGGTGAAACGGAGGGAACGTCCAAATGCTTCTGAGAATATGAGGTAACAGAAGAAAACGAGGTCACAAATTCAGTGCAGGACTCATCATTAATGCTGTGTCAGCATTTAGATTTACTTCTTTACATTCTATACACGATACAATATACAGTAAACTCCTGATAATTTGTCTGGGAAAAGGGTTCAATGACGGGTTATCAGGTGTGACAAGTTAGGCATAAGTTTAATTATATAAATAAATGTGGCCGGGATATTGACATCGGAAAAGTGGAGGCTCACCCTCTCCTTGCTTAATTTACCTATGGTACACCATGGCATCAGTTGGTGATATTCCTTAAGAAACCTCCTGTTCTTAAGCATTGTGATAGGTTTCTGCACCTGTCAGACATCCAGCTGACCAAAAGATTTCTTTAGCGCCATCCCTTGTCTGGCCCAGGAGCGCAAGACCCATTCGCAGGCAACAAAACCAAGTTGAACAAGATGTCTTACAAAGAATGGCCCGTTTATTGGCGGCTGATAGACTCCATCAAACGCACACGTCTGGCTTCCCCCACATGCAGTAAAGTTGAAGAGCGTTTTCACTGCTTCGCGACACTCTCCTGGTTTTCCTGTTCCAACGAGAGCTATAATTTGGGTTCCGTCATAAGGTAAGGGTTTCTGATCTGAAGTACAAGGACTGTCAAAGATGGAATCCAGAGTCATGTTGGACTTGAATCCCTTCAGGTAACAGGGGATCTCAATGAGATCTGTCAAGTTCTTCCCCTGTCGAGACAAAGTGACATTACAGTATTAAGGCAATAATAATAATCCTTGCATTTGATATAGCGCCTTATCACGTCTTCGAGACATCTCAAATTCGTAGGCGTACATGGCAGGCAGATTGAGCAGAGCAATATCCCACAAAGATACATAAAATGACTGACTAATTTATGTGGGGGATTGTTTCCCAGGACACCGGGAAGAAACTCCCTTTCCTTTTCAAATAATGCTGTGGGATCTTTAAAATCCACCAGAACAGGCATAAGGGACTTAGTCCTGTAGCTCGCTTTGCAAGTGAGAGACCTGAGTTCAATTCCAGGCAGAAGGCGAAACCTTGGGCAAGTTTCCTTACTCCACACAGAGCCTAATAATAATCCCTCCAAAACCAAAAACAATAATAAATTGGTCATTTTCAATCTACGACCATTTGTGAGACATTGCTGTGCGCAATTGGCTGCCGCGTTCGCCCACAAATATACAGTCAATTCACTTTACAGTATATTCTGTGAAGCGCTTTGGGACGTCTAGAAGACGTGAAAAGCGCTATATCAAATGCAAGGATTATTATTATTATTATTATTAGTGTTATCGTCACTTCTGAAGGACGGCACCTCCACTAATGTCGCACAGCACACCCACTACTGCTCTGTCAGCCTGGACTGTGAGCTCAAAGTCCCAATGTGGGGCTTCAACACACAACCCTCTGACTCAGAAGGTGAGAGCGTTTCCATCTCAGCGAGACTGACAGGCAGCTGTGGTGTGATCATTCCATGACGTTCGTGAAAAGTCACCCTTACAATCAATTGCACCTCATTTACAAGGCATAGAATGAGTCACAGAGTTAGCCATCTCAGTAAACAAAGGTCACGGCACCTGCAGCTGCATTGCAATGTGCTTCTTCTTGAAATGCTGCTGGCCGTAGCAGAGGTAGCTATGGGTGTAGATGATGTAGTTGTAGCCGTAAAGTTTAAATCTGACGTCTGTGGTCTTGTCTTCAATGGATTCTTTTGGAGTGAAGGTTATTTGAGTGGAAGCTCCCCCCAGGTCCAGGGCTCCGTGGATGTTAGCAGACTCCGGGTGTGTCCATTTACCATCAAAAGAATACTGGATCAAAAGGGGGAGAAAAAGAATTCCAACAACAATATTTTAGTAATAAAATCAGAAGTCGCTGGGAACACACAGCAGGTCAGGCAGCTTCTATGGAGAGAGGAAAGTGAGTTAACGTTTCAGCGCAATAACCTTTCATCAGCAATATTTCAGTTATAAGAATTTTACTTTATATTTCTTGCAAATGTGTAACGAATTCCCCAGAGGGAAACGGTTTCATACAGCAGCTAACTCCATCCTCTTGGCTCTCATTGGGTGCTCTCCGAGTCCTACCTTTAAATGGGATCCTTCTCTGTAGGTCTGAAGCATATACCTTTTCCTGAGAGGGTGCAGAAAGTGACCGAATTTCATTCTATACAAGAGCAGCTCATTCTCCACAAGATTGGTTTGGATGAAGAAATCTCTTTGGCTCATTTTATCTCAGCCTTCCAGAATGCCCACCCTAAAACTTAGAAACCTAGAGTTCATTGACTTTATGTCAGACATCAGTCAGAAAAACTGTGGTCTTGGAATCGAGGGGAACATAAGAATTTGCAAGGCGAAAGAAGATCAAGGTCCATCCAGTTCACCTTTCACCACCCTGGCAATCAAATGCATGTCCAAAAGTATATACAGTATCCCAAGATATTATTTCATAACAGAAATCTATCTAATTTGTTCTTGAAAGAATCAACACTCTCTGCTTCCACCTAGGGAGCCTGTTCCATATGTTTACTAGTGTAGTGTTTCCGCAGATTTGTTCGGAATTTAACCCCCTTTCAATCGCAGACCATGTCCTCCGGTTCTAGTGTTCACTGCAAGATAAATTATCCAGTCCCGTTAGAATCTTGAAGACACATCGCCTCTTAACCTTCTCTTCTCTCCAGCGTGAACATGCCCAGTTTACCTAATCGCTCCTCATAGTCCAGCTGAGAGATAAGGTTTGGTATCACATATGTGAACATGCCTGCAGATGATATCACCGATAACCTCAGCACTACAAGCTACACCTTACCTAATAGAAGTGTATCTTAGCTATATAGATGCAGAGTGTGAATAAAGCAAGTGTCTCGAGTCTCACAGAAATGGACAATTTCTCACCTTGATAAATGAGTTCAGGAGATAGTTGATAGTTGTCCATCCATATGCTCCCTCTTCCATCCCAGATATGATCCTGGCTCCTTGGAATTTAAACGGATAGGATTTGATTGTTTTCGAAACTTCTTCAAGAATCATGTCAGATTTTGTCTCATTCTGAATCCTATTTTTGGTGGAGGGGGAGGGAAAGAAATATACCCGAAGGTTATTCAAATCTTGTCTTTCTTGCTTGATAGAGAATCTGACAAAACAGGAAACGTTTCTCTCCTGATGGTACAGACGCTTAATTGGACTTCTCAAAGCGCTTTACAGGATTTATTGTATACTATAATGACTGTATTTATTAGACGATCTGCGGCCAATTTGTACATAGCCGTGGCCCACGTAATATAATGAAGTGAATGTTATTTTATTTGAGAAATTGTTGCCCAGGAAATCGATAAACTCCCTTCTGGAGGGTGAGAGCGCTATCAACTGAGCCAGACTGGCACCAAATGTAACATCTAATACTGCTTACACAACTCAGAGCAATGAACTCAGCACTGGCCAGATGTAAACTTGATATTGCATTTCTTATCTGGATGGACAGTCTCAAATATTTTGTTTTGGCCAGCCGGGTGTCTGACACATGTGGAAACCCATCCCCATGCTTAAGAGTATCCAAACCAAACTCAGAATTCCATGCATCCCACCTAGGAGATGGATTGTTGGAATGGAATGCGCACTCTCTTCCTGGAGGGATGTATCGTGCTTAATTCCGGAAACTATTAGGTGCTGGTTGGCTGAGCCAAGACTTGGGGACCCCAGAGTGTACGTTGGGATACTGCTGGAGTCCAACCAGCTAAAACCATATAGCTTACCATTGATAGCACCATCTGGCAAGCTTTCCTCGTGCTTGTCCAGATAGGTCCATCCTACCCGTTATGGCTTTGGCTTGTCGGATTAACAGGAGCTGAATAAAGACATTACTCTGCTTCAGAAAGCTTCCAGCATCAATAAATGGCAACTTTCTTGTACTGAAGTAAGAGTTTTAAGCGAAATAATTTAAAAAATGCTTTTCCCACAGTCCCTGATGCCCCCAGTAAGAGTTTCAACAGCTCTGGACAGACCATATGGGAATAAGATCCAGAGATCACCAGGAATTAGATTCCAAAGACAACGAAGGAACAGGATGTATAGACCGCAAGAGAGTAGGAGCTGGTGATAGGGTGAGTGAGGCCAAGTCCATGAGTGGAGGGAATGAGACATGTATTCCCTCAGTCTATCTTTTCCCTGTTTGTGCAGCATTTATAATAATAATCCATAAAAAAGAATAAATATAGATGCAGTACTGTACTTGAGTAAACGCATGCCAGCTGTTGCTCCCAAATATATAATCGTTTCCTTCTGACTCTCGACTGGAATGTAAGATGAGACATTGTCCAAGCAGGGTCTCAGCGACTCTCCAGCCTTTGGTGGATTCTCGGCATAACCCGAAATGCCAGGACCTGCAACCACATTCACCCAATGTTACAACAACAAATTACACTTGCCCTTCACATCGGAAAGACGTCCCAGGGCACTGGATAGGCAGGGGTGGGTGGGGGTGGGAGGGTATCTGAAGGCATGATGTTAACAGTAAAAACAAACAAATCAACGTGTACTGTTTCTGTGCAAACAACGAGTGAAAAGCGTTTAAGCTTTATCTGATAAGCAAGTCACATCTAGGATTCCAATGACCCATCGATTCTTTTGATACCATCTCTATATCTTATCCCAAATTGTGTAAGTACCTTGTTAAACATCTGGGTTTGATTCTATTCTAGCTCCATTGAGTTGCACTGTTGAAATAATATTGACTTTCTCAGCACATTGGACAATCCATATACCCTTGAAGAAGTGCATACCGTTTACTTCACAGTGGTGTAGTTGACTGACAATTCCAGTTCCGTTCTGTTCATCTGCCGGCCAGTGGTAAAGAAATATCGAGGTGTGTGTTGATCCTGCGTCAAACACCATTCCATACTACAATGAGGAAAGAGACTAGAGTTAGTCAGCAATCACCAGCTCCTCATCATCAGTCTCCACTTCCTTCAGTTATCCTTCATGTACTATGTTCTTTTTGGTACTATTCTGTCCAGTATTAGAGGAGCACTGCATTGAATATCCCAAACTTTGATCGAATTGATTATTGTACAATGATTATCAACTATTGATCAATCAATTGCTAATCATGTACTTATTAATATCATTAAGCGTATAATGTGTTGCACTTTAGACAGAAAGAATTTAAGGGGTGTTGTCCTTTGGATGAGATGTTAAACTGATTTCCTGTCTGCCTGTTCAAGTGGACATTAAAGATTTCGAGGAACTATTCAAAAAGAGAAGTGAGTTTCTCTCTCCCAGCGTTGTGGCCAACAAGCCCCCAGATAAAAATGGTCACTCGCTTCATTACTGTGGGACATTGCTGTGTACAAATTGGCTGCCTTATTCACCCACAATACAAGATGTTAAATATTCCATTGGCACTACTTAAAAACAGGATAGTTTCTCCCAGTCTCCTTGCTAGCATTACTTCAGATAAAAGTGGCCATTCACTTCATGGCTGTTTGTGTGATACTGCTGTGTGCAAATTAGCTGCTGCATTTACCTAAAAATAGATAGTCACTCCACTTTACAGAAAACTCTGTGAAGCACTTTGAAACACTATGACGTTACTGGTACTGTAACAAATGCAACAAATATAGTTATTACTTCAATAATCAACAACACCCAACAATTTATCATTTACTTATTAATGTAATTCATGTAATAATTAATCATTTAATGTGTTGTACTTTAGACGGAAATAATTTAAGGACGTTATAAACTGTCTATGAAACAGTTTAAATCCAGTGATGATTTACTAAATATCATTTCGGTTGTGAAGCTGTGATGAATCCAAGGTATAAAATCGGAGGATATTTTCAGTGTGTGTTGGGGGGTAGATTTTCCGTCACACCAAATCACGCGCTTCAATTATTTCACAGATTACATCCAGGTTGCAAAGCTTAATGTTATATTGATCTTCAATGCTACAAGATCTTCAATGTTGGGGAAAGGACACAATCATAAAGTCACTTTATACCTCACCCCCAGTGCTGCATTGGAGTGTCAGCTTATACCATGTGATTTCAAATCCCTACCTGGGGGCTTGAACCCACAACCTTCTGACTCAGAGGTGGGAGTACTACCACTGAGCCAGCCTGACACACAATCCCTGGTCAAAAGAGCGGTCAAAGAGGTAGGTCTTGAGATGGACATTGGATGAGATGATTGAGGGAGGGAGGGAGGGAGGGAGGCAGGCAGGCAGGCAGGCAGGCAGGGAGGGAGGGAAGGAGGGAGGGAGGGAGGGAGGCGAACTCCGGGATGGACTTCCAGAGAGTGGAAGACAGGCTAAAATCCTGACCACCAATGGTGAGACGAAGCACATGGTGCACACTGAGCAAACTGCAAATAGCTTTGCATGAGGATCTACAATCTTCATTCTCTAATAGCAGATAACAATTGGTTACTGTTGTTGAGTCCCAAATGTCTTGCCTTAGAAGTGCTTTAGAAGCCCTGGGAATTGAAGCTTCTCGTAACCACAGAGGATATTTGAGGCTTTCTGCCTATTCATCACACCAGATAAAAGGAGTATTTTTTTAGAGAATGACAATAAGTGGCTAACATGCAAACTCTGTAATTCAATTGCTCTACAATGTACAGACACTTTTTGGAGACAATGCGAAAGGCACAGATGATTGCTTGTTGACATTTGTACAAACAAAAGGGTTTCCTCATTGACATCAGTATGGAGTAAGAAAGACAGTCCCCGCTGAAAGAGCTTTTTAATCCTCTGTTTAAAAGTTACAGCAAAACTTTACTCCCATCTCGGTTTCAAACCTTTTGTAAGTCCGATGGTGACATAAGCATCCTCTCAACTGCACGGAAGGAGCTCTGTACTGCAACACAGTGCCGCATAACTGACCTTTACGGTTTTCTCAAGGATAAAAATCTAGATAAGGACACACTGCACAAGGAAATGTGAGCTGACTACAGGAAGATATCTGTTGATCCAAAAATGGGAGAACTTGCCTGAGTCACGCTTAAACTTTGGTTGGCTGAAATGCAGCCAATGACGATTCCAGCTGTAAAAACGAAGCCTAGAGCTCCTCAAGAGAGAAGAGTAATATGTGTAATGTATAACCTAGAGAGGTTCCATGTTGCATTCCTTCGGTCACAAGAAACATTTGATGAAAAAGCTCCTTTGTCCTTCCAGAAAACCCAACCTATTGTCCTTCCATAACAACATCAAGTTTGATGTATCTGAAAATATTGTTCTGGTCTGTGCTTTTTGACCTCCTCCACTCACATTCTGAAATGCACAACACACACGCACACACAAACTCAAACTCTCACACACAAACGCAAACTCTGTCACACACACACACACACACAGTCACACACATTAGATAGATGAACTGACCTTTCTTCCAGGAGGGAGCTGCACCTCTTGAATTCCGACCAGACTCAGGATCAAGGCAATTATTCCCGAGGTGATCACGAACGCAATCAGGCCTCTGGTGATAAACTGTGTGTTACTAAGCTTCATTTTGAAAAAAAGCTGCAGATTGAAAGGAGAAAAATTATATACAAGAGTTAAACAGGAAAAAGATTACCACCATGTATCTAACGATCTACAGTATCTAAAACCACAATTTTTCTGTTGAGAAAAAAATGTTGTTAGATTGCAACTCTAGACTGCAGTCAATTCGCTTTGCAGTATATTCTGTGAAGCGCTTTGAGATGTCTCGAAGCTGTGATAAAGAGCTATGTCAAAATCAAGGATTCTTATTATTATATTATTAACTCAGATATTTGTAATAAGTGCAATGTGGCAGGAGCCAAATGCTAATTTGAACTTCAAACAACTTTGTTAAAGACAAAGTTTTCACCCTGCCTGGGAATCAAACCCAAGTCCTCTCGCTTGCGAGGCAAGTGCTCTAACCAATATGACTCAGGATTCAATACATACCTCTCTAAAGCTACTCTCTGAGGTGTCGTTTTAATAACGAAAAGCCTTAGTTTTTCTCATTATTTCTCATTGCTCATTACTCTTACACTGGGGATCAGCCTTACCAGCTCCAACAACACACTCACTAACGTCAGAGCCTGGGGAACCCGCTTAACCGATAACAGGCATGAATAATACATACAATAAATAATTCAGGCTCTTATACAAACATAGAATAACCTACAAGACCCTCCAGTCATACTTGCCCCCATCTGTGTCTCAGCAGCACAAGAGGGCACAGGTTCAGAGTTCACAGGGTCAGAGGTTTTGGCTTCAAGTTCCCATGTCGTGACTTTAAAATTGTCTGATACTAATGCAGTGCTGCATTATTGGGGGTGGCATCCTTCAGATGAGATGTTAAACCGAGGCCCAGTCTGCCTGTTGTATAATCTAGCAATTGTTATTATTTCCCTATCCTCTAGTCTATTTGTGTGACTGTAAAAGACTTGAGGAGGTCATAGACAGACGAGCGGAATTTTCTTGTAACTTTCTCAGCCTTGGGGTTTACGCAATCTAATACTTGCGTATATCCATCACCGATGCTTAAGAGTATCCAAACCACACTGAGAATTTCATCCCCACCTTCAGCCCAGAGCTGAAATGTTCACATCTCGGCTGAAATTCTGCAAATTTCTTTACTATCCCTTTTTGATATTGTAACAATCCTTACATTTGACATCATGTTGTCTTCGAGATGTCTCAAAGTGCTTCACAGGATTTTACTGTGAAACGTGGTGACTGTGAACGTACAGTCTGAGTCTTGTGCCGTGTCAAGTTCAATGGCTTGACCGCCATCAGCAACTTTCCAGTTCAAAAGCAAATGAAAGCAAATGACTTCTACATCCAGCCCTTCGTTCCTGTGGTGTCCTGTAGTCTCGTGGCTGGTGCTCTCGCCTCGCAAGCCAGAGGAGCCGGGTTCAATTCCCAGGCAGGGTGAAGCCTTAAGCAAGCTTCTTTACTGCACAGGCCTCTGTTTACTCAGCAATAAATAGGAACCCGATTGTTAGTCAATTGTTGTATGGCTTTCCATGGGTAATAAATAATTCCTTCAAAACAAATTGGCCACTCAATCCACGTTTGTGTTTGAGGGACACTGCTCTGTACAATTGGCTGCCGCGGTTCACGCACAAAAAGTATGCAGTTAATTCACTTTACAGTATATTCTGGGAAGCGGTTTGAGACGTCTCGAAGATATGATAAGGGCTATATCAAATGCGAGGATTATTATTATTATAATTGTCCTCTGGTGGCCAGTCCAGTAGTAAGAGCCACACTTGAACAATAATAATAATAATTCTTGCATTTGATATAGCGCTTTTCACGTCTTCTAGACGTCTCAAAGCGCTTCACAGAATATGCTGTAAAGTGATTTGACTGTATATTTATGGACGAAACGCGGCAGCCAATTGTGCACAGTAGCATCCCCACAAACAGTCGTGGATTGAAAATGACCAATTTATTATTGTTTTGTCTTGGAGGGATTATTACTAGGCGTGTGGACTAAGGAAACTTGCCCAAGGTTTTGCTCTGCCTGGAATTGAACCCAGGTGTCTCGCTTGCAAGGTGAGTGCTCTAACCACTGAGCTACAGGACTATTACCTGATGACGTCAACTAATTACTGGCCCTGAGTTACGTACAAATCAGCTCTGTGTATCTTATCTTCATACAGATTATAAACATCATGCTCCTCAGTCATTATTTCACAACTCTCCATAAATATTTCAATGAGTGCGTTTCTTGTCCTTATTTTTCCTGTACATACACAATAAGATTTCCAATCAATCTATTTTTTGCGCAACTAGTAACTCACCTGAGACTTACTTGTTGTTAAACAACACGTGCATTATTGCAGCCTATCGAGTCAGCCCTCTGTGATGGTCTAAATTTTTTTGGGGTGCGGCGGGGGGAGGGGAGAGAGCTGTTAAGAGAACGAGTTAAACATTGTGCAGCAGCCACAAGAGGAAGGACATGGTTTGTGGAGAGGAGGGTACAGCTTAGGTTACAATAAATTGATGTGAATGGGTGGGCGATTCAAAGCAAATTCTGATTCCCCGGCACGCAAGCTAGCCTCAGATGAGTCAGTATTGGGCCAGTGACGGCATTAACCAGGTTGAATAGTAAATCTCGTTGTGTGTGTGTGGTAAAGATGGGCAGAAATTGCTCAAAATAAACATGCAGCTGTAAATTATCACTAAATTATTACCATTATTAAGATGAGGTGCATCCAAATAGTGTAACTAAATAATGCCTGTAGTGTTGCAATCTATTGACAAAACAGCGACTTGGACTTATAAAGGGACTTTTAATGTAAGCTAACATATTGAAATGCTTCAGAGGCAGAGTGGAAACAAACTGCGGGCAATCCCATTTCCTCAGTACAAACTTTGTCTAGATGCGAGACTCACTCCTCTCACCGGTGCCTGAGTCATACCATTTGCCAAAGCCCACTCACAAGATATATTATAAGTCTAGCCTCCGTGTATTTGTAGACGAAACATTGGGACTTTGAGCTCAGTCTAGGCTGACACACCAGCACAACGCAGTCAGGAAGTGATGTATTTCATCCCAACTAGTTTGAGCCTGCATTCTTCCTGGTTCCCCATCTATACCTCTCTATTTTCTTCTCTCTCATCTATACATCACATTTCTTCTTAAATACTTTGAGGGCTTTTGTTTGCATTGGTTAGAACACTCACCTCACAAGCGAGAGGACCCGGGTTTGATTCCTGAGCAGGGCAAAACGTTTGGCAAGTTTTCGTACTCCACACGCCTCTGTGTACCTAGCAATAAGTAGGAACCCAGTTGTTCGTTGATGGGCTGTTCAAATCCCTTTGAATAAACAAGTAAAAATAATTTGGTCACCCAATCCATGACTATTCGTGGCTGCCCCATTTCGCTCACAAAAATATATACAGTGAATTCACTTTGCAGTATATACTGTGAAGTCGTTTGGGACATCTCGAAGATGTGATGACGTGCCATATCAAATGCAAGGATTATTAGTATCATAACCTTTGCAACTACAGTAGTGACCTTTCAGGCAAATTGATGAGTCATTAAAACCTGTAGAACTGGCTCAGATGAGATCACTCTGGCCTCTGGGCTGGAAGGTTGTGGGTTAAAGCCAAATAACAGTACTTCAGCTCACGGTCGGGCTGACACTCTAGTAGAGTACTAGGGAAGTACTGCATTGTCTGAGGCGTCATCCTTCAGATAAGACTTTAAGCCAGTATAAATAACACTGATTAAATATTTCTTGATTTATGGCAACTCATGAGAATATTTGGGGTGGGGCACTTCCAGATGGACATCCCCTGCAGTAAACAAAGATTCTGTCTGTCAGTTGAGGTTAAAGATTCACTTAGGCTAATAGAAAAGAGAAGGAAGCTTTTCTCAATGTTCCAGTCAATGAATTTCCAGATAAATCAGTCATTCACTTCAAGGTCATGTGTTGTGCGCAAATTGGCACAAGGTTCTAAAATAAATTACATGTAGGATTTTTTTGGGGGGTCAGCCAGGTGTTTGACACATGCGGGAACCCATCACCCATACTTTAGAGTTTCCAAACCAAGCTGAGGTTTCCATGTATCCCATCTACACATGGAAATCCTAGCGATGGATTGTTGGAATGGAAAGCACCTGGTGGGATGCATCCTGATTACCTAATGCCAGAAAATATTAGGCACAGGTTGACAAGAGAAAAGGCTTGAGGATCCCTTAGTATGCGTTGGGGGTACTGCCGGAGTCTAACCAGCTAAAACCGCATAGATTATCATTGATATTGCTTTCTCTGCTAAGACCATGCTATCCGTTAGGGCTTTGGCTTGCAGGGTTAACAGGAGCTGTGTGGGATGACTCCCTGCCCCCTGCCAATGACTGGTCTGCCCTTCCAGGTCATGCCGACGAGCCTGTGCTGTCATCAGCAGTGCCCCGGAATACTGCGGACCTGCCTGGCTCAGGAACCAGACCAGAGACTGCCACAGAGGGCTGGCTCGATTCCCACAGTCCATTGTCAGGTATGTCACCTTGGAGCCAGTTCAGCTCCAAGGAGATCCTGCTTACCTCCCCTGCAAGGAGGATGGTCACTAGTTGGTCATTCGACATCCGACAAGTATGAGTTTGATCCCTCACAAGGTGCATGGTAGGTGCCAGGAACTCCCTACGAGCTTCCCGGTGGGCAAAAAAGTTCAGCATGAAATGCGTGAAGAGCATTGCCACCGTCTTCCTGTCTGCAGCTCGGGCACCCATCCCTTTCCATCGAGCGATGGTTCCACCAATTGGAGGGTATTAAGGGACAATAAATACATTAAAAAATATTAGTTGCAGCTGATAAAATTTGAAACCTTTAGTGGGAAACCCGGGTGTTAGATCCTCAAACAATACAGAAGCTAATATTCAAGCTTCAAGACGATTGTCATTATCTTTTCTTATCATTCTCCCACTTCTCAGGAAGCTATTCGGTGCCTCCACAATCAAGAGGAAATGACCTTTCACAGAAACAAAGGGCAGTCAGAGAGAAAACAAAGGCGTGACAGATTCCTGACAGAGCCCAGGATACTTGGAACAACTCTCACAGCCAACTCTCAGTGTTGGTGCGTCAATTGTTTTTTTAAAAAAAATAAAGTTGGATAAGTATCTGACTTGGACCAGGTCTGAAGATCTAGACAGACAGGATCAAAACTTCCATTCAATAAATGAAACCTGTGCTGCTGGGGCCATGGAAGTGTCACCTGTGAAGTACAGCAGGCAGGGGGTTGAGTCGCAATAATAATAATAATAATCCTTCCTTTCAGCCGATACTCCCCGAAACTTTGGAACTCTCTCCCCCAATCCCTCGCCTTCCGCCCCCACCCCCACAACCCGCCTTTAGATCACGATTAAAGATTTTCAACTGTGCTTATGGTCATCTCCTCCCTCCACCCGACTCACTGTTAAGCACCCTGAGACGCTGCTCTGCGGGAAGGACGCTATATAAATACAAGTTGTTGCCATTGTTGTTGATGGACTTTCTTACGTTTGGCTCCAGAGAGGGACAACATGCTTAGCTCCCCTCAAGGTCGAATATTCACTACTTGGTCAGAACTAGTGGGAAGTACGTTGTTGTTGCATTTGTTGCTGTGGTTGTGGATGGTTAAGACAGAGTGAAATTTCAAAGTGGATGTCTGCCAAATAAAGCATCCTATAGAATTCTGTTGTTGTAGGAAGTGATATAATAATAATAATCATAATAATCCTTGCATTTGATATAGTGCTTTTCACGTCTTCTAGACGTCTCAAAGTGCTTCACAGAATAGACTGTAAAGTGAATTGACTGTATATTTGTGGGCGAACGCGGCAGCCAATTGCGCACAGCAATGTCCCACAAACAGTCATAGATTGAAAATGACCAATTTATTATTGTTAGGGTTTTGAGTGGAGAGTAGAGAAGCTCAGGAGGGTGGGGGGGGGATGAAGATGACCAAAGTGGGCGGCGGGAAGAGGGGTGAGGTTGTCGGATTCCTGGATGGAGTTCAAAGGATGGGGACATAATGGCACTGACAGGAGCTAAGTAGAAGAGCCTCAGTCTTCTTGATATTCAATCGAAGAAAGAAACCAGTTGAATGTCAACTCTTCCAGGAACTTGACGTCTGACAGATAATCAATCAGAATAGTAACATTCTTGGAGATGTGGAGGGAGTGAGATCATCCACGTGCATATGGACATTATTCACATACATTTGGGAATGGGGGGGGGGGGGGGGGGGGGAGTAAGGAGTGGGTGGAGATCTGGTGGAGTATAAACACCAGCTGAATAGCATGTCTATGTAAAGTCTATGTAAATATGCTCTCAAGTTAAGGGCACAAACCTACACAATCTCTCCTTGTATTTATATAGTGCTCTTCACGAGGGGTAGAGTCTCAGAGCGCTTAACAGTGGCAATCTCCTCCTTACTCACCCGTCTCTCCTCACTGCTCCACCATTTCTCAGTAATGTTCTTACTAGACCTTAATGCTGTATAAACAAAACAATCTTCTTATGAAAACCACGGCATTTCCCATCTCTAGATGCATACTGTGCAATAGTCACCCAGAGATATTTTATCCACATTCATTGTGTGTATATAGGGAGGAAGCGCAGGGAGAAATGGAAACTCCCCATAGCCGAAAAAAGGGTGAGAACTCTGAGATCTTGTGTCATGTAGCTTAGTGTTTAGAGCACTCGCCTTGCAAGCGAGAGGACCTGGGTTCGATTCCCGGGCAGGGCGAAATGCTGGGCAAGTTTCCTCACTCCACAAGCCTCTGTTTACCCAGCAGTAAGTAGGAACCCGGGTGTTAGTTGATTGGCGGATCGCTTTTCCAGCAGTAATAATTCCTTTAAAAATAAATTGTAAAAAAATGGCGGATGGTCACTCTATCCACGACTATTTGCGGAACAATGCTGTAAACAATTGGCTGCCGTTTCTGCACACAAAATATACAGGCAATTCATTTTACAATGTATTCTGTGAAGCTTTTTAAGACGTTTCGAAGATGTGATAAGGCACTATATCAAATGCAAGGATTATTATTATTATTATTATTAACACAGAAGGAGACCATTCGGCCCATCTTGCCTGTGCCGGCTCTTAGAAAGAGCTATCCAATGAGTCCCACTACCAAACTTTCCCATAAACTTTTTCCTTTTCAAGTACTTTCCCTTTTGAAAGTTATTATTGAATCTGCTTCCACCACACTTTCAGGCAGTGCATTCCAGTTCGTAACCACTCTGTGTTTTTAAAAAAAAACACAATTCTCCTCATCTCCCCTCTGGTTCTTTTGCCAATTATCTTAAATCTGTGTTCTCTGGTTACAGATCCATCCGCCATTGGAACAGTTTCTGCTTATTGAATCAGTCAAAGCCCACCATAATTTTGAACGCCTCTATTAAATCTCCCCTTAACCTTTTCTACTCTAAGGAGAACGAATTTCTTCCAATTGGAGAAGATGGTAATTCTCTTCTGCCCTAATCTTACCCAGTCAGTCTCTCACTCACTTTACTCCTATTACACCTCTAACCAGTCGCTTCACTCCAGGCACGTTTCGCCCACAAAATACACAGTCAATCCGCTTTACAATATAAATAATAATAATACTCCCTGCATTTCTCAAAGACATAATAAGGCGCTGCAAATATAATGCCTTATTACATCTTCGAGACGTCTCAAAGCGCTTTACAGAATATGCTGTTGTGAATCAACTGTATATTTTGCGGGCAAAACGCCCAGTTCTGTGAAAGGCTTTGAGATGCCTCAACAACATGATAAGGTGCTATATCAAATGCAAAATGCAAGTATTATTATTATCTTCCAGTCCGACCTGCCCTTACCTTTTCCTCTCAGTTGCGTCCTTGTTAGATTACTCTATTTTGTGCCCATCTCCATTGCAGGTGGTTATCAAATGTTACTCTGTATGGTGTTGGTATCATCACCGATAGCAGTAAGCAGTTGCTCAACTGATGTCCTCTTTTAGGTATGCAGTATTCCACTTGAAATCCCACAGCTGCTCTTGAAACCTTTCACGTTATCAACCTGAATGGTAAATACACACAGCGTCATGTTGTATCCAGGTTTCCACAAAGATTAGATCAAGTGCAACACCATTGTGTCAGATTTCCTGGAAAATGATCAGCCAGCAGAATTTATAAAACATTGAACAGCAGAATTTGACTTACAGGCAATTCTCTCTCTCTCTCTCCTTCTCGTGCTTGCTCACTCTTTCTCTCTCAGCAAGTTGCGTGTGTCACTGAGCAAAGGTTGATGATCCCCAATACAACCCCCCGCCTATCAAACCAAGGCTTTTGTTAACCAATTGCATACACCTTCTGTCAAGAAGGGACCTCTCTAGTACATTGACCAGTCGATTGATTTACTGTGCCTTTAGAGTTCCCACACAGAGGGTGAAGTGGGGAAAGTTACTGCAGAAAGTTTTGACAGGTTAATTACTGTTTAATCCAGTTAATCGCTGAGCTTCAGTTATCTCGTTTTCAGGAACCAGCTGTAATATGGGGCAGGGCACTGCATAAACATAGTCATAGTATTAAATCTTAACAGGAAGTTGCTTTCGTCTGATCACTGTAAAGGCTGGAATGTACAGACGTATTTAAGATTGCACAAGAATAAAGAGAGAGATTGGGGAAGTTGAGAGACATTTCAGAAGTTGGGTGCAAAGACTGGGAATGGCAAGTTAGCTCCATGTGACAGCTGGAACTTCTGCATTTTAGTTGGCAAGAGTATGTACGAGCAGGCTTTATTTACACTTTCCTGTGGATTTCTTTTGTTCTGTGTTTGATAGAAACTGCAGAGCGATAGATGCTACTTGGCTAGTCCGCAGCAGCCACTAAAAGATTTCTTTTGAATGTAATGTTAATGAAGCATAATGTGTTAACCGCAGAATAGTCCTGACTGAACGCAACTATAAAAAGTTCTGCATTCTCACAATCAGCCTCCTTTATGGTTACTCTGAGGGAAGACGATAAAATTAGCCACTTTTACCGAGGGATTTGTGAGATGGCCCCATGACCACACTGGTGCATGAATAAGCCATAAATTAGACAGAAAGGATAATTTCTCATGTATGCAATAGGCATGTCAGAGACTCCTCACTCTTCTTTGATGAAATAGATGCTGGGGATGTTTACCACAAACCAGCAGATGGAATTTATTACGACCTTTGGCACTGCAACTCCTCACAAGAACATGCACACATGGGGGAATCCTTCAGTGTTTAAGATTATTTAAACCAGAGTTACACGTATTTGCCAAACTTACACATGGAAATGTTCCGGTGTCTGGAATGGAATGCCCCGTCTTCCCGGAAGGATGCATCCTAATTCTGGGGAGTAGAAGTTGCCAAGATCTGGGGACCCCAGAGTGTGCTTTGGGATAGCGATAAAAAAAAAATCCCTTAGTTTGCTATTGAGAGCACTTTGTGGCAAGTTTCATCAACCAGCAACTTGCATTTAAGACGGGCAGGCAAGCTTCCTGCTGTTTTTACAGCAAGGACAACCCTACCCATCAGCGTTTGGCTCGTGGCGTTAACAGGAGCTGAATGGGAAGAATCCCTGCCTCAATGACTGCTCTGGCCCTCCAGGTCCTGCCAATGAATTAGAAAATGTTGACCACATCTCAGGAACCAGACTAGTGAGACTGCCACAGAGGGTTCACCCAGATAATAATATCCTTAAAATCCTTGCATTTGATATAGCGCCTTATCACGTCTTCGAGACGTCTCAAAGAGCTTCACAGAGTATACTGTAAAGTGAATTGACTGTATACTTTGTGGGTAAAACCCCACACGTCAGCCACACATCTCTACCCATTGAATAATGGTTCCACCAGTTGGAGATGCGGAGCTTGAGTAGCTTACACTTACGCTCCTGGCAGGCCAATGAAGGATGAAGAATCTAAGTTCTCAATATATGAATGTGTGTTCACAAACTCGGACTCTAGGTAATGCCTTCCAGCAGCTGTCATCCCAAACCTCAGAGTCTCCCCATTAGCTATTCCATACACATCTGTCTTCAGCATGGTGGGAGGATCTATACAAGATAGCTTGTGACGTGCTAGCCACATTTTTGTTATAGGGATCCAAAGTCCAATGACGCTTACAAGGTTTACTCAACAACAACAGCTCAATCCAGGTCCTCCTATGATGGGCTTGCATCAGCCATAAAGCTCCAGCCTCATTATTTAAAAACAAACACAAATCCACCTCACTGCTTAGCCTTGGGCTTTGCAAACAGAAACCCCTCTGCTGCACACCCAGGAGCTCAGCTATGAAGAAGAACTATTTGGACATGCACCTTGTATGCCATAAGCTTAACCATCAATTGGGGCCTTGCTATCAGTCAATCAAGAAAGAGGAGAGAACTTCTGACCAGGGTACCCAATGCCATCTTTTTGTGAACCCACCCAGTTTACTCCAGGAACTTAAAGGAACTTTAGGTTAAAGAAACTTAATGATATTGCTTACCTTTCATTGATTTCTTGCTATCTTTCCTTGTGCCTAGTAGTCTGATCAGCGGAATGCCTGATTTCATCATATACTGTTGGTGAGTCCAAAACAAAGGGGCCCCATAAATATAAAATAGCTAATCTAGCTAATTTAGGGGGAACTTTTTTTGTTGCTCAGCAGGTGGTGAGAATGTGGAACTCATTGCCAGAAGCTGTGGTCTAAAGAGAAACCATGAACATATTTAAGAGGAAACTCAATGTAAATACGAGGGACAAGTCCATATAAACGCCAACATGTACTAGTTGGTCCAAATGGCTGTACAGTCTATATAATGCTGTGTAATGTAACAATAGCCTCTCTGTCCCAAATTTTATACCAGACAGCATAGCAGCAGATGGATTTGCATCCATCTTTGTACAAAGCAAACATGATCTGTCCAACATTACAATCATTACCTTCCGCTACCGGCAGTCTCATAAACATAAACACCAATCACTCGGGCACATCCTAAATAATATGCATTTGCATACGGCGAGCCAGCAATAAAGCCTTTGTCTGGGTATCAGCAAACGGCTTCCTATTACACATATATAAGACATTGCAGGACTGACGGGTGTCAAACACAAAACTAAAATATTTGCCCCATAGCAAAAAGTTTCAGCTCTAGCCGGGCGATGGTGGAGGGTGATAGGGTCACGAAGCCTGGTGAGGGATCAAACCACAAGCATTAGTTTGGTAGTTGAGCTGGGAATAATCCAGTTGTAATCCATATCATTGATAGATTCAAATGACAATCACACAGAAGCAGAGCTCATCTTGCTTTGACAGACAGTGAGTTCTATTTCAGACATATAGCTTTGGGCTGAGTTTAATCAATTAATCAACTGATGTTTTTTCAATGCATGGATTAAGGAGTCCACACACCCTACCATTAAATTTCAACCAAATCATTGACTGTTCGGAATAATGGCATTTTTATGCTAATTTTAACGCTTTTTACTCCTATGCCATGGAAAGTTTTGAAAGCGTAAAGTGCTATTTGCAGTAAATGTTGAACTTGCTGTTTTTTGTACTGCAATTCCAGAGGCTCAAAATACATCATTAAACATGAGGAGTTGTTGTACATGGAGTCTTCACCACTCTTATACAGCCTTTCATGTAGGGAAGATGTCCCAAGGCGCCGGACGGTGAAGGAATTGCACCCGAGGGGGTGATTGGCAACAGGAGGGGTTGAGGGCAGGGGTAAGAGGGTGACGGAAGGCGTGGTCAAAGAGGAGGGTCTTGAGATGGGCCTTGAAGGAGACAAAAGAGGGGGCGAGGTGAAGGGACCGTGGGATGGACTTCCAAAGGATGGGGGCAGAAAGGCCTGACCATTAAAGGGAACTTGAAGCAAGCCTTCATTGAAGCAATCCATATCATTGATAGATTCAAATGACAGTCACACAGAAGCAGAGCTCATCTTGCTTTGACAGACAGTGAGATCTATTTCCGACATATAGCTTTGAGCTGAACATAAACAAAAGCAAATGGGGAAGTGGATAGGATGTCAAAAAGGGAAAGGAGTAGATACAATCTTGCAATAGGTAGAAAGCATCCTTATCTTTCACTTATAACAAACACTATGATAACTTTCAAAGAGTTTAAGGTACAGTAGCTTTTCTTTATTTGAAAGGTTTTAAATAGTTCGGGTAATAGTTGCTGTAATCTGTGATACATTATATTCAATTTACGTTTCCATTCTCTTTCTAATCCTTTAATTTAAAGGCTGTTCATAGCCGTTTCTGAAAGATACAAGAGCATGAACATTGTGATTAATATTCCACTTGACACATCACTGTAGGAGGAAAGAACTAGCATCCAACAGTGAAAAGCAATCAGGAACTTCATACACATCTTTACAGCGTGTGTAGGATACACTATAGCTTCTATTGTGTTAAATTTATATTGGTCGATTGATGGAGCATTGGGGTGTACAGTATGCTGTACAGTTACTGTACCAGCGATATAGCACTTCAAGTGCTTTGAGACGTCCTCCCGACATGAAAGACTCTATATTGTACAGTATTGTAAATCTACTGTAATTACCCACAGTAGGTGGCAGCAGACCTCCTTTTGGGATCAGTGTTTTCTATTTCCAATTCACTACACTATCTGTGATTTTTTTAAAAAAATATTAACATGAGTTAAGTGCAGGTTCTTGAGCAACTTCGAAGATTTTTTTCCTTAATATTTATTTTCTCTCCTTATCTAACCAAGGAAAGATAAAAATGAACATTTTACACATAAGTAAGGTCAAGCCTGTTTGAAGGCTCCATATAGGAGTTGCTTGCTCTAAAGCTAATTATTTTACCACTGTCTATGTTGGTAACCACTGGCCCAGTTTACCTCTGTACAGATTTCTCACAACATGGCGAATAAACAAACAAGAAATATTTATATATATATATGTATATTCAGACAGGGTTTGCTCATCCAAGAAAAGCCACCTATCCTAAACCCAATCTTGTGCTCTTTAACCATCCACCCTGCCTAATGTGCTTATCTTTCAGCGCCTTGTGATCTCCTCCCGACGTGAAAGGCACTATACAAATGTAACTTTGTTGTTGTTGTCATCTACTTCCCTTTTCAATGCCCCGTTCGAATACTCCAGCCCCATAAACCCAACCAAAACTGTTCCTTATTCTGATAACCCTCTGGAAGAAAAAAGATCTTTGTAACTTTTCCCCTTTCATCTTATAAATATCTCTATCATGACACCCCCTCAACCTTCTCTGCTCCAATGATAGAGAGTCCTAATCTCTCTAGCCTCTCCTCAAAGTATCATCCTCATGAATTTATATCTTTTCAAGAGTGAGGCCTAAAACTGCATCCAATATTTCACCTGTGTTCTAACAATTCAAATTCACCATCACTGAATTACTGTTTATAAAATACACACTCCTTTCATGTACATGTCTTTTAATATGTGCACATATTTGCACAGAGAAAACCCCTGTTACTCCATTGAGAATTTTAACACTTAAGGGGATTTTTCCTTTTTATATTCCTTTTTTCCAAAATGCAGTGTTTCACATGTTGATATACCTGAATTCCTGTTTTTGGAAATGTGTCCATTCTGCCAACCAAACTGCCTGTCTCTTTATGCACACTCCTTCTTAACATTACCTCCTAAATACCTTCATAGAACTACTAAATAATCTATTATCTAACTTAAGGCCTAAATAGAATGTATTATATAAACTCAGAGCCACCAAATATGGATTGAGATTAACATGACTCATTATAACCAGAATCCCTTCTCCTTACTGTGCTGTAGTAACATATCTCAATACGCTTCTTCCCCCTCATCTGTGTCGCTTCCAGTGAGCCTACAGTCACACAGCAGGACATAAGTAAGAAAAAGTTTTTAAAATAAGTTCCCGTACTTGCAACACTTTGTAAAGCTCAGTAGCAGTTTATAGATAAATGAATAATAATAATCCTTGCAATAGATAGAGCGCCTTATCACGTCTTTGAAACATCTCAAAGCGCTTCACAGAATATACTGTAAAGCGAATAGACTGTATAGTTTGTGGGCAAAACGTGGCAGCCCTTGGATTGAGTGACAACATTATTTTTTATTTATTTTGAAGATGTTGATATGCGCCAAACATGCCCACCATGTATATTTACGATAATAGCTGTAAGTAGTTCCGAGGTGTTAAGTACAACATTTACACCACTCAAATAGGGATTGCTCAAGGACCAACTGCTTGCTTGTTTTTATAGCTGGCACTTGAGTTCTCATGGCAGATAACTGATTAACCAAGCAATCTCTGTTAAAGTGATTCCTTAAGCCTTTGGAGATTACCAAATAAGCAGTGAGGCAGAAAACGATTAGGGGAGAATGTGGTCAATTGGTCGACCTCAGTGACTTGATAAGGCGCTATATCAAATGCAAGCATTATTATTATAGTATGGAGTGTAAATCCAGCAACCTGTTCCAAATTGTCATATTATCTAGGGAAAAGTTCTTTCTACTTACATAGTGACTGTGCCACGATGCTCAATCGGATCTGTATAATCACTAGGGTTATATTGCTGCAACTGTATAGGGCCCTGGTGAGACCATACCTGGAATACTGTGTGCAGTTTTGGTCTCCTTATTTAAGGAAGGATGTACTGCCTTGGAGGGGGTGCAGCGTAGATTTACTAGGTTAGTACCAGGGATGAAGGGGATGAGTTACGAGGATAGGCTGACCAATTTGGGCCTATATTCTCTGGAATATGGAAGAATTAGGGGAGATCTTATAGAAATCTATAAGATCATCAAAGGCCATGATAGAGTAGATAGTGGGAGATTGTTTCCCCGGTTGGAGAAACTAAAACCAGGGGTCACAACCCTAAAATCAGAGGCAGCCCTTTCGCACTGAGTTGAGGAAGAACTTCTTCACTCAAAGGGCGGTGAAAGTATGGAACTCACTACCCCAAAGGGCTGTTGACGCTCAGTCCTTGAACATATTCAAGACTGAGATAGATAGATTTCTTATTGCAAAAGGGATTAAGGGATATGGGGAGAAGGCAGGGTCAGGTTATTAGCTGGAGTTAGATTAGAAAATCAGCCATGATTGAATGGCGGGGCAGGCTCGAAGGGCCGAATGGCCTACTCCTGCTCCTACATGTTATGTTATATGAAAGAGAAGAAAATAAAAACTGTTCATTGTTTTGTTAATAATCCATTTTTCACCACTATTTCGCTGAAAGAGGTGTGGAAAGGTTTACAAGAGAATGACAAACAGAAAATGATTAAAGGAAGCAAAGAAATCATGATACAAAAGTCATGGGATAATGTAGAGAAGGAGCAAACGAGCGTATACTTTACCTGATTGAAGAAGATGGTGGTAATTCAAAACTATACAAAAAAAACATTTGTTATGTTAGTATATTTGTGGGCGAAACGTGGCAGCCCAATAGCGCACAGCAGTGTCCCACAAACAGTAGTGGATTGAAGCGATCAAAGTATTATTGTTTTTTTGAAGGATTATTATTGGGCATGTGGAGTAAGGAAATTTGCCCAAGGTTTCGCTCTACCGGGAATCGAACCCAGGTCTCTCGCTTGCAAGGCGAGCGCTCTAACCACTGAGCTCCAGGACTCCACTAACCATTCAGTAAAATGATTAAAGGAAGAAGCAAGGATATCATGATTTAAAAGTCATGGAATAATGTAGAGAAGGAGCAAACAAATGTATACTTTACCTCGAGAAAGGAGATGGTGGTGATATAAAACTGGTAAAAAAAAATATTGCACATGTTTAGGTTTTTGCAGCAGAATTTAATAGACCCAAACGGAGACTCATATAGGACGTAGAGAGATAACGACAACAAGATTACATTTGTATAGCGCCTTTCACGTCGGGAGGACGTCCCAAGGCGCTGGATAGAGTACAGCATTTCAGACCACTGGTTTCTGCGCTCTGGGACGCTATCTAGTGTGAAGGGTGTTATGTAAATGCAAGTTGTTGTTGTGTACCTAGACTTTCAAAAGGTTTCACCAATCTTGTTTGGTGAGTTGGGAGGGCCATAGTGCTGTGTGACACGTCCGAAATAGAGAAATTTACTACTTTTGCGGAATCGCACCTTAGCTTTTGCATTCGGCTACATCTTCCACACCAGCACCATGAAGTTTAGTCCTTTTAAAGATTTGAGTGTCATATGTATGCCAACACACATTGATAAACTGATTCATAATCTTTTCACTTACCGAGGAGAATCAACATGGGTCAACAGACTTTTTGGGCCTAACCTAAATGCCCAAACAGGACAGCACAAAAGAGAGAGAAAAAAAATATGACTTTGTAGAAAGCAATGCAGTACCCAAAGGGCAGAGAGATATTAGAAACATATAAATCAGATATGTAAGCAGAGAAACTGGTACGAGTTCAAATACAGAGACAAAAAGCAGATGTTCCTTTAGTTTCTGTTTAAGTAATGACAAAAATACACAAGAGTGAATTTGGGGAGATTTGTGGAGTCCTGTAGCTCAGTGGTTAGAGCACTCGCTTTGCAAGCGAGAGACCTGAGTTCAATTCCAGGCAGAGGGCAAAACCTTGGGCAAGTTTCCTTACTCCACACAGAGCCTAATAATCCCTCCAAAACCAAAAACAATAATAAATTGGTCATTTTCAATCTACAACTGTTTGTGGGACATTGCTGTGCGCAATTGGCTGCCGTGTTCGCCCACAGATATACAGTCAATTCACTTTACAGTGTGTTCTGTGAAGTGCTTTGGGACGTCCTCCCGACGCGAAAAGCGCTATATCAAATGCAAGGATTATTATTATTATTATTATTATTATTATTATTATTATATGACCTGAACAGTCTAATTAGCAGCACACCTTACCTGGGCATCCCAGCCCTAAACCTAGAAAAATAAATAACAGCATTGTAAGTATTTAGATTTTTGAACGGATGTTCAAGTGAACATGAAATTCATCTATTTAAGTTCCTCCTGGTACCTGCCATCCACCTAGTGATACCTCAAATCCACCCCTGTCAAATAACTATAACAAATCTCATTTGTTTAGAGGACGGCACAAGGCGAAGGACAAAGAAGAGTCTTCACCCGAGAAGAGGGGTGGAGGTCAACTGGGTGGAGGTGGGAGGATGACCGAAGGCACGGTCAAAGAGGAAGGACTTGAGATGGGCCTTGAAGCTTTGGTAATTCCAAGGAATATAAGCAAAAGTGGATTTTGGGAAGATGACACTAACAGACAAATCACCAGCACACCTTACCTGCCTTGAGGAACGGCAGGTGATCGTAACCTAGTAAAATCAATAACAACATTGTAAATCTTTAGATTTTTTTAATGGATGTTCAAGTGAATAAGAGACTCATCTATTTCAGTGTGTTTTTACTTATTTGCCAACAATTGCAAGGGAGATAAGATTATTTGCAAGAGTTCTATATAGAAATAAAAGTTGTAAAACAGGATAACACAACAGAGAAAATTGGAAACTAATTGACAGAGATGTACAGATCGAAAGATACAAGTACAAATTCAAAGACAGATCGATCACCAATGGTCGAATATTCTTCTGGCTTCTGCCTCAACAGTGCCAACCTAAACAAGATTGGATTTTGGGAAGAGGACACTAATAGATAAATCACCAGCACACCTTACCTGCCTTGAGGAACGGCAGGTGGTCGTAACCTAGTAAAATCAATAACAACATTGTAAACCTTTAGATTTTTTTAATGTATGTTCAAGTGACTAAGAGACTCATCTATTTCAGTGTGTTTTTACTTATTTGCCAACAATTGCAAGGGAGATAAGATTATTTGCAAGAGTTCTATATAGAAATAAAAGTTGTAAAACAGGATAACACAACAGAGAAAATTGGAAACTAATTGACAGAGATGTACAGATCGAAAGATACAAGTACAAATTCAAAGACAGATCGATCACCAATGGTCGAATGTTCCTCTGGCTTCTGCCTCAACAGTGCCAACCTAAACAAGATTGGATTTTGGGAAGATGACACTAACAGACAAATCACCAGCACACCTTACCTGCCTTGAGGAACGGCAGGTGGTCGTAACCTAGTAAAATCAATAACAACATTGTAAACCTTTAGATTTTTTTAATGGATGTTCAAGTGAATAAGAGACTCATCTATTTCAGTGTGTTTTTACTTATTTGCCAACAATTGCAAGGGAGATAAGATTATTTGCAAGAGTTCTATATAGAAATAAAAGTTGTAAAACAGGATAACACAACAGAGAAAATTGGAAACTAATTGACAGAGATGTACAGATCGAAAGATACAAGTACAAATTCAAAGACAGATCGATCACCAATGGTCGAATGTTCCTCTGGCTTCTGCCTTAACAGTGCCAACCTAAACAAGATTGGATTTTGGGAAGAGGACACTAACAGACAAATCACCAGCACACCTTACCTGCCTTGAGGAACGGCAGGTGGTCGTAACCTAGTAAAATCAATAACAACATTGTAAATATTTTGATTTTTTAATGGATGTTACAGAGATTCATCTATTTAAGTTCCATTGATCAGTACAAATGGTTACTTCAAGGAAAACCAGTCACCAAGAGTTGGCCAGTAATTCACATTGAGATACCTCTTCTGCATTGCGTAGATGTGCTGCTAACAATTTTTCTTAAAAGGACTTTTTAACAAACTGCCTTGTAATCAAGTGAATTTTACTTATTTGGAAACAACAGCAAAGGAGATTTATAACAACACTGTACATATTTAGCCTTTTTTAATAGATTATGCAAGTGAATAAAGACTCCAACCTACCTGCATTACATATTCAGCTGAAGCTCATTTATAGATTATGTTTGCTAGGTGTTTGCCAACTGGTGAAGTTTATTAATTGAGTCAGTCTGCTAAATAATGCATTTTTCGATGTGGATATTTGTTGCACTTGTGCTTAGTAAGATTTTTGTGCACATGGTAATTTTACCACTGTGCAGTAACTGACAGGCAGAGAGAAACATAAAATAACAAAATACAAACCAATTTATAATTGTCTTTTACATCAGGAGAACATCCCAAAATGCTTAATGCTGCTGGCTGGCCACCTGAGCTAAGGGTGGGAGCCAACGGATGGATGGGTATACAGACGAAAAGGTACAAATACAAAGTCGGCGACATAAACAATAGCTCGATATTCCTCTAGTATCTGCTTTAGTAATGTCTATCATTATAAACAAAAATGGATTTGGGGGAAATTATGCTAGCAAGGTGCATCACCAATAAAGCTTACCCAGATTTAGGAAATGTAGGTGGTGCATCCCTAGAAAAATAAACGACCACATTGTAAATCTTTAGATTTTTTAATGAATATTTATGTTTTCAGACATTATTCAACATTGCCAATGGATAGCGATAGTCACGTGAATGAGAGAGACATATATTTAAGTTTCCAGAGCACAGTTCACTACAATTGGATACCTTTGGGAACACCATTTGCGATGAGTGGTGAAGGTAGTGGAAAAGCAATACACTTTCTGATCGAAGTGCAATTAATACTAATAATTCTTTCATTGTTACAATGCCTTATCCCAGCATAAAAAAATCTAAATGCGTTTCACAGGATTTTACCGAAGGGTGCCGTGAAATTTGCCGTGAATGGTAACGGCAATTTGCGCAAAGCAATGTCCCATAAACAGTCATGAAGTGAATGATCAAATTTATCTGGGAGGATTGTAATGAGCAATAATTAGACAAGCCAGGATTCTTCCGTTTTGAAATGAGACATCTCTGAATGACCTTGTAGGGATGTATAACATTTAAAAAAAATAAACCCAGAACAATACTTTAGAACGCAACAACGGGAGGACATGTGCTTAGAGTTGCAAAGAGCAATTTCAGTCCAGGCACTAGGAAGGGTTTCCTTATCCAGAGAGGAATTAAGGGTTGCCAGGAATTGTGGCTGATGCCAGGGCACTTGTGGTGTCATATTTTAAAAAATGCTGTGATGGGAGGCCGGTAGGATGGGTATTCTGAAAGAATGAGATCAAATGGGCGGAAAAAGCTTCTTCGTCCAAACCCACAACCTTCTGACTCAGAGGCGAGAGCGCTGCCAACTGAGCCAGGCTGACACCTAATGTAGTATGAGTCCTTAATGGTGTAGATTTTTTTCCCATCAATGAATGGCAGTAAAGCATTGATTAATGCACAGACTTGTTACTAAGACNTTTTTTTACTTACTCCGCAGAACTAAATGATGAACTCTCGAAGTCATTTTGCTTTGGAGGCATCCTGTTTTCCACAGAGTGAAAAATTAAAACTATTATGGTGTAGATATCAACAATAATAATCGTTACATTTACATAATATAATAATCTCTGCATTTGATATAGTGCCTTACCACGTCATCAAGACATCTCAAAGCGCTTCACAGGATTTTACTAGAGATGTAGTAACTGTGTATTTGTAGGTGACCGCACAGCTCATTTGCACACGGCAATATCCCACAAACAGCCATGGAATATTGTGATGGTGGGGAAGGCAGAACAGGTCATGACATGGATGTGGAGGAGAGATGAGGGTCAAATAAGACACCAAGTACATCTGTGAATAGTGATGCTGTCAGCACCTGAGGTGAGGAGGCACCGACAGGAGCAAGAGGGCTCCTATCTTGTCAACGTTCAACTGGGGAAAGTTAGTGCTCATCCAAATTACAACAAACTACTTGATGTCTGACAGAGTTGGGTGTCATCCTCATACATGTGGAAATTAATCCCATGTAGCGGTTGACGTCACCGAACTGGACCAAGCCCTGAAGAACACCATCCGTGATGGTACGAGGGCAGGAGGAGAAGCCATTAATGTATATGCATGCACTGATTTATTTAAATATTAATAACAATAATCCTTGCATTTGGTACAGCTTCACATCTTCTCAAACCACTTCACAGATGATATTGTGAAGTGAATTGACTGTATATTTGTGGGCAAAACATGGCAGCTAATTGTCCCACAAACAGTCATGGATTGAGTGACCAAATTATTATTACTATTTGAGGGATTATTAATAAGAGATGCCCTTTGGAGAATACACAGATGGATCTACATACCTGCATTCAGGAGCTGGCATTTGAGGTCTAGAAGAATAAAGAAAAACAATGCATACTTTCACTTTTTTAATAAATGGAAATTAACAGAATTTTTTTTTTAAAAATACACATTTCCAGACCATAATTCAGTAGTTGTACAACCCGTGGGAATGCTTTGTGGGGTTTTTAGCAAAATCCATATCTACTGTCACACGCATTGAGACACTGGAGGAGTCATATCCCAGAACATGCCCCCATTTTTAACCCAGTTATTTTTAAGGAATCCAATCACAAATTGCTGCCCCTTAAGACCTAATATGCGTTCTCAACAGTGATAACATTGTTGGAATTAGGTTAGATTCAAATTGTAGTCCGTTGCAAACTAAGTGTGTGTGATTAGGTTTGTAGTCAGTGGCTTCACATGGTCTACACTTTCCCCCCAGTAGAAACAGAGCAGCAATGACTGCATTCTTCCCTCTACATATTCATTCCATTATTTGAATGTGTGTCTATTATTCTGAGACCCAATTCATATTTTTGAACATTCTAATTGGGTCCAGTTCCCAATTGTGTTTCGGGTTCTCCAGTCCATTCAGCCCACAGAAAACTGTCAATGCTTCCAGCGCGTCAGCACCTTGACGTGAACTCATGGCAATTAAAACAGATTAACAAATTGAGTCGCAATCGAGTCCTTTTTACTTAACTTGGTTGATAATTCAGGCTATATTCAAAAAACAAAATTAGGAGAAAAAAGACATTATTTTGTAGACAACAAACTACATTTTCACCATTATTTTACTCAACCTATCTGTGTTACATGCTGTATATACTTGGAACTCTTGGGCTGTAAATCCTTTGTATTATGTAAGTAAATAGATATGGAGAAATACATAAGAGATAGGTATACAAAAATGTAATATGGGGGTAAAGTTGGAAGGTTATTTCATCTCTTTAGATGTGTGCTGAAATTCAAGACCTCATGTGTGACAAGAACTACAGTCTTCTAATGTAACATATCGCTCATCGTACAAGACCTAAATACCTCAAAATACCTAATTTTACAATGAACACTGATCACCAAACCAAGGGGCAACAAGACATTTTTACTTACTCAGGTTCTTCAACAGATGGATCAGAGAACTTAGCAGTATTAGTCAAGAGGCTAGATTGCAAAGCAGAATGATACACGAGAGTCAAAAATTAAACTATTATTTTGGAGATGATCTTTTTATGGTCAGCCAAGGGGTCTGACAAATGCCAAATCTATCACGATGCTTCACAGTATCAAAACCAGTCTGAGAGTGCTGCATTGCATGCCATGAACACACAAGGAAACATCCCTGTGTCTGAAACATGCAATCTCTCCATAGAGCAACTCACCTGCTTACCTAATTCCAGAGTATTAGATGCAGGTTCGTAAGAGTTAAGGCACAGGGACTCCAGAGTTTTGGGTAGGAATACTGCTGGAGTTTAACCAGATAAAACTACATGACTTGCCATTGAGAGCACTGACATGGCAATCTTCTTGCTGTCTGTTTGACCCTAGGGATTTGGATTGCAGGGTTAATTCTCACTCCCAGTTACTGAGCTGTGCCTCCAAGTGCTGCTCATGAACTAGTCGTCAACAATGCCCAAGAGTACTGCGGACTCATTTTATTAGAAACCGGACTACCAAGACCATCACAGTGGGTCGGGGCGATTCCAATATTCTGTTGCCAAGTGGGCAACTTGCTTTCAGTTCTGCTTACTTTCCTCCAAGAAGGATAATTTGCTAATTGGTCATTTGACATCCAACAAGTACAGGTTTGAGCCGGCATTAGGTGGATAGCAAGTACCAGAAACTCCCTGCAAACTTCCTGGTGAGCAGCACAGCTCAGCGTGAAACACAAATCAGTGCCCTACCGCTCCCCTTGTTCCATAGAAATCCTGAGCTCTTTCAGGGAACCATTCTGCCGCTGTGTGCAGCAAACAAATGTGCCCATTGTGAAGTGGACTCTGCTTCCAGGGTAGGCCGGAACCTTTCCCCCCAGCAGCCACTTCAACAACAACAATAAAGTTACATTTGTATTACTTCCATGTTGGGAGGACGTCCCAAGGCGCTGGACAATCAGTGTTTCGAACCTGAGCTGGGGTTCAGGATTGGGGAGGGTGGAGGGCAGGGTGGGGGAAGGAGGGTGATTGAAGGCACAGTCGAGGAGGAGGGTCTTGATTCAGGTCTTGAAGGAGGCAAGGGAAGGAGCAAGGCGGAGAGGCTGCAGAATGGAGTTCCATAGGGTGGGGGCAGAGTGGCTGAAGGCCGGCCCACTACTGGTGGGGCGGGCAAGGCAGGGGACATGAAGCAGGCTGGAGCCCACTGAGTGGAGGGAGCGGGCAGGTTGGTAAGGGGTTAGGAGAGCTCACAGGTAGGGGGGAGCAAGGCCATAGAGGGCTTTGAAGGTGAGGACCAGGATCTTGAACTGTATCCACTATGTGATAGGAAGCCAGTGGAGTTGGGTGAGGATGGGGATTATAGGGTCACGGAGACTACTGTAGGAGAGGACACGGGCTGCAGAGTTCTGGATGATCTGCAGTCTATGGAGGGAGGAGTTGGGGAAACAAGGATTTGTGATAAACTTCCCTAGTTTATCACAAATCCACCTCACTACTCGGTCCTGGACTTCACACATGGGCTGAAGAAAACCCTTCCACAAGTTGAAGAACTTGGCGGAGGTAACAAAATGTCTTTTCACCATTACAGTTTCCAATCTATTTGTGTTACATATTCAGCTGCAGTTACTTTCTAAATTGCTCTTCTCTTCAGGCTTTTGCAAGAGCCTGCCATCTGGTGACATGCATTATTGATTGAGACAGATTAGTGACAACACTTCTTTCAGTGTGTGCATCTGGTACTTTTGTGCCCGTTGAAATCTTTTGATCTTAATGAAAAACTAGTGTGGTACGCAATGGCAGAGAGACACACACAGACGCATAAAACAAACACACAGAGACACAGTATGACTACAAGCTGAGTCGATAGGCCAATATTCTGTTGGTCTATAACTTGTGTAAGGCCAGTGAGTGTAAACAATGGTGGGTTTTTGAATACAACGGACTGAATACCTTACCTGTTTTGAGAATTGGGAAAAAATCTGAAAAATTAAATGAAAATATTGTACAGGTTTAGAGTTTGGTAATGGATATTATTGGAAATTCAAGTAAAAAATAGTGAGGAGGATGGCAAGAGACTGCAGGATAA